GAAGTTCAGACATAATGCTGATGAATAGAAAACATACGAGCCTTAAACTTAGTGCATTACTACAACTTTTGATCTGTGTGATTTTCTTGTGCCAGGTGACCAAAGCTGCAAATTCATCAGGTAAGTTTAAACATATAATATTCTATAATATATAATGGTTAAGATACATATTTTTAAATGCTTCATATAAATTAAACATGAAGCAAATCATCTACAGTTCTATAATATTTACTTTTAAACAATATATCTCCTCCAAATGGGCTTATTTAAGCCTTTTGCATATAACGATGTTCATTGAGAAAGACACTGACTTGAAAAAGTAAATGACTCTTTTGAATCCAATATGAGTAACATAGTTAAACTGACTTTCTGCAGAGACCAATATAAACTGGCATGGGAAGATCTACAAAGACTTCATTGATAATGGAGTGTATACACCTCATGTATTCCCAGGACGAGGCAATGGAACACCAATTGTTGTATCTGCAAGTTTATCTCTTACCACTCTGCAAGACATTGTAAGTTAACCCACCACAAAATATTTCAATTAGATCTATATCATATATTAATACAACTTTTTCAACCAAACAGGCAGGGAGGCAAGTATTTATTCTGTGCAAGACAATTTTGGGGGATGGTTGTCCCAACCACCGACACCCCCAGTTAATCAGGACAGTACTGGAGTCAAGAAAAGGCATACATGTATGCTCTGTTAGAATCAGCTGGAAACTTTGGTACAACATTAAGATTTAAAATAATATTCAACATACTGCAACCTGAAATATGCATACAGCTATCAAACATTCAATTTATTTTTGTTTTAGGATGAGAAGAATCAATTGCTGAAATCAGCAGGGTGGATTGCCATGGTAAGTGCTGTAAAATATTCATAATTGTTTTCACAAGCCTTATCTATTTAGCAAAATCAATTTTTGGTTAAATATGTATTATAATACGTAATGGATCTAAGCTAGCATTCACGAATCCAACCATTGGCTGTCGACTGACGAATCAACTGCTATTTTATGACCAACTCATTTAAATATGAAGAGTATCTCCCGTGCTTTCTCAATAGCTGATGGTTGATCAAGTCAAACATGCTCCCTGAAATACATAATAGTTGGATCTGCAGCACGAAAATGGTCTTGAAAAATATGTGACCTTACACTTGTAGCATGGCATTGGTCTAGTAGTAACACATATCTTTAATTTGAGGTGTTTTGAATCATTTTTCTCAAAGATTCAACTTCTTCTTGAGCCTTCTTCAATTTGAATATTAGTTTTTTCCTGTGTCGTATGGCATTGGTTCTATATTTGGACACTTGGTATGGCATTGGTCTTATATTTGGTATGGGTTTGGGTGCTATTTTGGTTGGTATGGGAACACATTGAATTTTGACAGATTGGTATAGGAACACATTGATATCTGAGGGTACAGCCTATTTTGAATACAGTGAACTTAAATATAGATGTCTCTACTTGATGGAACAATGTATTTGTTATCATGGTGGAGCTTGAAAGTCTTTGTGATACCTAGATCTACTCACACATTTCAGTTTGAATATCACCTATGATAAAAATCATTAAAACCAATAAGTTTACATTTCAGTTGTGGAAAGATGAGAGCCTCCAATGGAATCCTGAGGATTATGGAGGTGTGGAGAAAATCCATGTGCCTAATCATCATATCTGGATACCTGACCTTACTATCGAAAACAGGTTAGTATTAAAACTCAGGTGATTTAAATACTCCACAACATATAAAAGCTTGAGTTTTTGACAATTTTAAACAAAATATCTACATAATTCAGAATTATCGGTTTACTCTTATTCTTGACAAACATAATATCTTACATAGCTTCATGTTCCAAACTTAATTTTCGACTGCAAGTCATAACTGCATTTCATATATATTTTCAGCTTGAACCTCAAAACATTCCAATATGGTTCAGACAATAAAGCCATAATCTACTCTAGTGGCAATGTGCTTTTTAGTCCAGGGCATAACTTTGTCACGTCCTGTGCAATTGATGTTACATACTTCCCATTTGATGTACAGACCTGCCACATGGCCATAATGTCATGGGTACATGATGATAGTGAGTTTAAACTGACAACTGATCCATGGCCAAAATTAGTTAATCATAGTGGTATGTTTTTTTACGTTAATTCAACCTTATAAAGGCCTTAGAAACAATGCAAATAAAAAAGTCACATCTAATAGAGCGACAACTGTTATAGTGAAAAACAAATCCCAATATCTCAACCTATAGCCTAACGCAAAATAAAACAATAATTAACACCCCCTCAAATCAATATAACAACCAAAAAAGAAAAAGACTATGGGATGTTTTATTCAAATAGAAGTCATTACATGATGGTGAAGAATATAAAATAAAATATAATGTCCAACTTTTTCAACAAGAGATTCTTGCTATCACATTTGGTTTCATGATTACAATCTAAATTAAGTAATCAATTGTTTCAAAAGATGCTGTGGATCATTTTCAAGAAACTTTAAAAGAATTCATGCAATTATGTCTGTGAATCAATCTAAATGTGCAATATGCTTATGAATATTAATAGTAGTCACTTTTTCTACCCTTCATCTTAATGATTGAAATTGTTGATAACCTTGTATTCATTTAGAACTAGATCATCATGGTGAGTGGATTGTTGAAGATACATGGGTGGAACTTGAAACACGGATTTACTACAACATTACAGATAAGCCAGGTTCGACTAACTATACAGTCATGCAATGTTACGTAAGGTTCAGACGAATGCCATTGTATTACATGGTGAATGTGATCTGCCCGTGTTTTCTGATTACATTACTAAGTGTGTCAGTATTCTGTCTACCATCTGGTTGTGGGGAGAAGATATCACTTGGAATTACTGTATTATTGTCATATGTCGTATTCCTTCTCATCGTGGTTGAAATGATGCCTCCAAGATCGGACGCAATACCATTACTTGGTATGCATTTATTATCAACAATCATAACTTCCAAGCATAACATTAACAACAAAACCAATAAGTATGACATAGAAGATGAATGTATAGACTTCAGATTAAAACTCGGAACTTCAGATCTCTAATAGATTGTCAATATTTACTGTTTCAATATACATGTATTCCAAAAATTAATGACTATTTCAGGTGCATTTCTGACTACTGTAATGATCCTAACAGCCTCTTCTATCTTGGGTTCTATATTGGTGGTCTCCATGGATGACAAGGCCTCTTATTCCTGGCCATCACCAGGCCTCCAGGCCTTCACAACATTCATGGCCAGGATCTTGTGTATGTCAAATAAACTGCCCAAGCATAGTCATGCAAAAGAGAATCCATGTGAAAATACACAAATCAAAAGTGAAGTTGAAAAGAATATGTGCCCAGAGAGTAAACTGGATGAAGATTACAAAATGGGAGTAGATACTGGTCATAAGTATGTTGAGAGCCATGATTGGAAGTTTGTTGCAAGAGTGCTAGACAGATTCTTTTTATGTCTCTACTTGATAATCTTATCACTGCTAAGCCTTGCAAGTATTGTGCTCTGGCTTATGCCTAAAGCCAACAGTGAAACTAAACAAGAATCAGGCTGGACTTAAAGTTGTAGTCAAACAGATATAACCCCATTTGAAAGTATTCAATGAAGTACTTTCTATGCTGATTCACTACTTAATATACTCATTTCTCTGATCAGCTAACTCTTTTATTACATGTATCTATGAATAATCATCCTGACTGCTTTTTTGAAGCACTTTTGATAAACACATTTAAAACAAGGTCAACCATTCAGCTGCATGGGAGTTAATTGTGATTACTAACTTATTAAATATTATGATTGTTTAAATTAGAATTGTAAATATGTTCTAAATGTACCTAGGATAAAATCAGACTGCACTGTAAAAAATGTACATATATAAATATTATTTTAATGTTTGTTACTGTATTAGTTAAGTTTGTTTTGTATACTCTTATACCCTATAGGGGGTAAATTGAGAAATCGATAAATAAATATTTGAAGAATATAGCAACAATACAATCTGACTAGATATTAATTATAGAATTAATAAAATGTTTTGGAAATGAATTAGCAATTTCTTCATCTATTATTTAAGAAACAATGCCATCAAAAGATGCATTTTTCTATTGATAAGTTTCTGTGCCACGTGCAACGCAAATTCTTTTAGAAATGTCAATACAGTAGAACCTGTGTAAGTGGAACACCATTTGGACCACAACAAGTGTTCAAATTGGAAGGTGTTCCACTTACAGAGGTTCATTAACATTGACTAGATAGGCCATAGGACTTAAAAACACTGTTCCACTTACAGAGGTATTCCACTTCTCAGGTGTGTTATTCTTAATGTACATACTGATTCATTAATGTACCTCCTTTCCTGATCAACTGATAATTTCTCAATCCACACTTTGTCAATCTCATACTCTACAAGTTTTCAATTCAATCTTGAGTTTAAGTTGAAATATTGGATACTCTGTTTAAGAAGCTGGAAGAATTTGGTATATCTAAATAGTGGCAAAATAAGCAACTGATCAATAAAAATACTAGACAAATCCTATTCATTGATCAATATATATTAATTGCTTTACGAAACCATGTAAAAAACCATTTCATAAAGACATTAAATCATGACAACTTTGTGTTTATGGCTATTCCATGGGCAAAAATATGGAATCTGAACTCATATACTTTATATACTAAGAATCAAATGACTTAACTTGTTGATTCATCTAATTGAAATGGAGGATATGATCCACTTTGAAGATTCAAGACATTTTGATTGCATATTTTGAAAGTGTTCAAAATAAAAAATCAACTTTTCTCTAAATGTGAGAGTACACTATGGCGTTCTATGCAAATATGATGCTATGTCATTTTAATTCCTATTCAATTCTAAAATAAATCCTGAGTATTTTTGTAAGAGCTTAAAACTTTGTTTCTATTAATATTGGATATTTCCTGCATTGACTCGTGTTACCATGAGAGGCAATAAAATGATCTAAGGGTCTATAATCATACACATAGAGTAGTTCTTATACAGGGAAGGAATCAGTCATGACACAGATGCGTAGAGTAGTGCTAATACAGGGAAGTTCAGTCATGGCCCTGATGAATGGAAAATATACTATCTCTGAACTTAAAACATTACTACAACTTTTGCTCTGTGTGATTTTCTTGTGCCAGGTGACCAAAGCTGCAAATTCATCAGGTAAGTTTAAACATATAATATTTAAGGAATAAATAATGATAGGCCATTCAATATGGTGAAATTCAGCACGAGTTGGACAGAATGTTGTACAAAGCACGAACCGAAGGTGAGTGCATTTGTACTAACATTCTGTCCAACGAGTGCTGAATTTCACCATATTGAATGGCCTATCATTATTTATTCCGATTCAAACATAAAAATTAGTAAAAGCCGTGTCTGTGGAACGGGCATGAAGGAAGAATATGCATGCTGTCAAGATTCTGAAGTCGGCCGGAAAAATTTAGAATTTGTTTGGGCTGTTCTATTTTACTCCCCGTTTTAGATTTTATACGGTGTATAAACTTGAAGTCAGCCATAGTTAAATAGTTACAGTAGTTACGGAGGGAGTAAAAAAGAACAGCTATCCCCGGACAGAGCCCCAGATGTGCAGCTGAGATATGACGTCACTCAAAACAATGCAAATTGCAGATTGAATAGAGCATGGTCGTGCATCTATGGAGAATTAGAGAACGTTCTATATTGGCTATGCTGCATTCTGATTGGTTGAGAAATTCGAATAGAGCACGGTCATGTTTGAATCTATAATATATAATGGTTAATATACATATTTTTAAATGCTTCATATAAATTAAACATGAAGCAAATTATCTACAGTTCTATTTACTTTTAAACAATATATCTCCTCCAAATGGGCTTATTAGCCTTTTGCATATCATAGTGTACATTGAGAAAGACACTGACTTGAAAAAGTAAATGACTTGAATTTCTTTTGAAACCAATTTGAGTAACATAGTTAAATTGACTTTCTGCAGAAACCAGTATAAACTGGCATGGGAAGATCTACAAAGACTTCATTGATAATGGAGTGTATACACCTCATGTATTCCCAGGACGAGGCAATGGAACACCAATCGTTGTATCAGCAAGTTTATCTCTTTCCACTCTGCAAGACATTGTAAGTCAATCCACCATAAAATATTTCTATCAGATGTACACTGTATAGTACCATCATTGTACCTTTTTCAACCACCAAAAAGCCTTGGATTTCCCAAAAATATTAAACTCAAGGACTTGAAATACAAACTAATAAAATGTTTATCATTAATATATCACATTAAATAGTCTAGACAGACATGTACAAGCTTTTTAAAGGAGCACTTTGGGAATTTTCAACATTTTTGGGCAAAATAAAGGCTTACATTTAAATGTCAGAGTATGTCCAATGTGTTGATTAGAACCTTGTCTTTCATTTGATACAAATAATAGCTCAAAAGGACCACATCAAAGCTTACAATAAATTATAAAAAAATATTTTCGATCTGTCATGCGTTATATATCAAGTTTTTATCAATGTCATTGAAAGATAGCAGAGTTGTTTGTATTATATGATACATTCATTTATATAAAAGTGTCGCCATCTTTTAAATCAATAGCAATTTAAAACATGCACTTTGTTTAACATGTGCATGCATGTCTAATGATCTCTGAACTTCAAATGCTTTTTTCTATGTGAGTTACTTTTTTCTTGGTTCAGTATTAAAGCAAATCAAACTTTGTGTCATATTTGAGCTAGTGTGTGAGTAACATGTTTCAATGATAAGGAAGCAGGTTCACCTTTTCCCTTACCTCTCAACCCCTGGTTTGAACTGAAACTTTTCACATCGGAAAGTTATAAAAATTTACCTTCCACATGTAATGTGAGATTTTTTTAATTTTTATTGTTTTTTGTTAATTTCAAGGGAGCAACATTTCAGTTTGGGATTAAAACAAATTTTGAGGGTAGGGGGTTGTCTGTACCACTGAAAACCCAGTTAGGACAGTACTCATGTCGGACAAGCACAGTTGAGATTTTCAAAAATTCATAGAGCCAATTATCATTCCTCCTTCACTGACATATTCACTAAACTGATGTAATTCATTATTAATTTTACATTTAGAAGGTTCTAAGTTGTTTGTCAATCACTTTCATTTTAGTAATGAGAGCACTTGTGCGATATTATCATTGTAGCTTAGTAATTATATGTAGGAGTTCAATGCTGTCATTAACTGGCCATTTCAAAGTTTCAAGAGCAGAGCATGTTGCAATCAAGTGAAACACAATACACAGGTAGCCAGCCATGTGAAGATATGCACCATATAAGGGCTCTAAAACCCTATGAAAAGTTGCAACTCTGTACTTTGGGAAATAACTTCTTCTGAGACATATAGAACCTGGAAACTTTGTTAAAATATCGAAATATCAAATATCAATATAGCTGAATTATGCATGAGCTATTAACTATTTCATCATTTGTCTTAGGATGAGAAGAATCAATTGCTGAAAACAGCGGGTTGGGTCATGATGGTAAGTAGTTTGAAATATTTATAATTGTTCTCAAAAGCCTCATTCATTTAGCAAAATCAATTTTTGGTAAGTGATCTATTATAACACAGGACTAATTGATCAAAGTAGTGTTATGGCAACCAAATTGTTTATATTAGGTCATAATAGAAGAATAGATCCATCACTTCTCTTAGTGATAACATTTGATTGACAGATTGATATTTGCTTCCCTTAAATTAAAAATACAGATGTCTCTTGTAGATGGAACAATGAGTTAATATTATGAGTAACATGTAATGTTATTATTTTCCAATGAGTTAATATTATGAGTAACATGTAATGTTGTTATTTTCACTGCATTAGAATGATCAGAATACTTGAAATGACTTGAAAGTATGTATAATATATTTCAGTATTAGAAAATCTCTTACAGTAACAATTAAAGCTATAAATCTGAGTATGCATTTCAGTTGTGGAAAGATGAGAGTTTCCAATGGAATCCTGAGGATTATGGAGGAGTGGAGAAAATCCATGTGCCTAATCATCATATCTGGATACCTGACCTTACATTTATAAATAGGTAAAGCATGTTAAAACTAATAGGTGATTTTAATATTCCAGTTAGATCATATGATATTTTAAGTACATGCATATTAGCTATTACCAACTCCATGTTCGACTACAAGTCAAAAACTGCATTTCATATTTTTTCAGCTTGAACCTCAAAACATTCCAATATGGTTCAGACAATAAAGCCATGATCAACTATAGTGGTTATGTAAATTTTGGTCCAGGGCATAACTTTGTCACGTCCTGTGCAATTGATGTTACATACTTCCCATTTGATGTACAGACATGTCGTTTGTATATGACTTCTTGGGTGTATGATGATAGTCAACTCAAACTGACAACTGACCCATGGCCAAAAGTAGTTAATCATAGTGGTATGTATTTAATACACTTTCATTCTGATTTAACATTCTACCTTTACAAATAGTTCCTAAAGAATTAATAAGGCATATAAGAATATGTAAATATAGAAGCATGCTTGTCATTTCATCCTAAATCACTGGTCCTGTACTTGTTTATGTAATGACCCGAGGGTGCCCCAAGGGAATGACTAACTAACGAGCATAGTGTAACAAGCCAAAAAAAGAAATTGAAAGAAGAGTGTTAAATTCAATGCCCCATGTGGGAATTGAACCTAGGACCCTTGGATCCAAAGACTCATGTTCTATCGACTGAGCTATAAAGGCATAAGCCACAACAGCTGGACTGTAGTAGCAACTTGCTATCAAGGGTCGTTACACATCTCCCCCTTTGAAAGGACCACGCCCTCGTGGTCAGCCCTGCTTTCCCTAGCAGTGACTACCATATACACACAGGCAGAAAGAATACAACCAATGCTCTGATCCCACATCTGACACCAATGTAATGACCCGAGGGCGCCCCAGGGGAATGACTAACTAATGACTATAACGAGCATAGTGTAACAAGCCAGATAAAGAAATTGAAAGAAAGTGTGCTAAATTCAATGCCCCATGTGGGAATCGAACCTAGGACCCTTGGATCCAAAGACTGATGTTCTACTGACTCAGCTATAAAGGCTTAAGCAACAGCTTTAGAAACTTGCTATCAAGGGTCTTTACATTTATACTGTTTCCTTGATAACAAGATGACCACAGTTCCGGTTGGACAGTTCTGAGTTCCAAAAGGACAGAATTCCAAAAGGACTTTTTTTAACAAGACATTCTTAGCACAATGTCTTTAAGTTATTTTCAGAAGCTTTAAAATTTAGAAATTTTTCTCTTGTCGTGAACCCATCCTTCAAACGCAGTGCTATAGACATCATTCATCATGTTTCTTCCTATTCTGGCTGATCGTTCCTAGTCTATTTGCTGATCGCAGGGTGGAAGAAGATGGTACAAGTTCTGGAGGCCTGTGTTTGGAGGATGTTGAGAACCCTGTAGTGAACACACTTCATTTTTATCTCATATAGGACTAGACAATCATGGAGAGTGGATTGTTGAAGACACATGGGTTGAACTTCAAACAGTGCCTTACAACGTTAATCCTTATGATGGAAATGGAGAAACAAACTATACAGTCATTCAATGTAACTTAAGGTTTAGTCGGATGCCATTGTATTACATGGTGAATGTGATCTGCCCATGTTTTCTGATCACATTACTGAGTGTGTCAGTGTTCTGTTTACCATCTGGTTGTGGGGAGAAGATATCGCTTGGAATTACTGTGTTATTGTCATATGTTGTATTCCTACTCATCGTGGTTGACATGATGCCTCCAAGATCTGACAAAATGCCACTACTGGGTATGTATTTATTATCAACCATCATCATAACTCCAAAGTATTAGGCACTTAAACCACAAAACCAATAAAATGTCAGCCATTTTCAAAATGGCCGCCTACAAGCCATTAAGCCAAAGGCAGGGTGCCATGTCATCATATATTAAACAAGAACAAAATCACATTCATTAATTTATTAATTACCATCATCAAAATAACAAGACATGACATTTTACTCACAAAACTACAACAATGATTGAGTATGTCATAAAATCTTTCAGGAAGTAGTGCAACAATGTACATGATTTAAGCTATCAAAGTACGTGGGTGTATCTGTATAGACTGAAAGGATGGGGGCTTCAGATTCTAATAGATGGTCAATATTTACTGTATCAATGTATATGAGTTATTGAAAAAGTTATTATTTCAGGTGTATTTCTGGCTATTGTAATGATCCTGACTGCTTCTTCTATTCTGAGTTCTATATTGGTGGTCTCAATGGATGACAAGGCCTCTTATTCCTGGCCCTCACCACACCTCCAGGCCTTCACAACATTCATGGCCAGAGTATTGTGTGTGTCAAATAAACTGCATAAGAGTAGTGCAAAACAGAACTCCAAACTGACACAAGTTCGTCCATGTGAAGATATGAAGATTAAAAGTGAAGTTGATGTGTATACGTGCCAAGACAGCAATATGGATGGAGAATACAAAACGGCTGAAGATCCTGATCATAGGCACACTGTAGCCTTGCAAGGAGAGAAAGGGCTTGGGTTGGAGAGCCATGATTGGAAGTTTGTTGCCAGAGTGGTAGACAGATTCTTGTTATATCTCTATTTAATAATCTTATCACTGCTATGCCTTGTAAGTCTTGTGCTCTGGCTTATGCCTAAAGCCAAGTAGTCAAACAAATAGAAGACCATTTGAAAGTATTCAATGAAGTACTTTCTATGCTGATTCACTACTTAATATACACATATCTCTGATCAGCTGACAGTCCAACTCCTTTATTATTGAAACAGTATCAGTATTATACATATATCTATGAATAATCATCCTGACTGATTTTTTTCGAAGCACTTTTGATAAACAAATAAAACAAGGTCAAGCATTCAGCTGCATGGGAGTTGTGATCACAAACTTATTAATAAATATTATGATTGTTTTTATTAGAATTGTAAATATATTCTAAATGTACCTAGGATAAAATCAGACTGTACTGTAAAAAAATGTACGTTTATAAATGTTATTTTAATGTTTGTTACTGTATCAGTTAAGTTTGTCTTTTGTACCTGTATACCCTATAAGTAATGAATTGAGAAGTCAATAAATAAAATAAATACATATTTGAAGAATAAAGCAACAATACAATCTGACTAGATATTAATTATAGAATTAATAAAATGTTTTGGAAATGAAAATTTCTTCATCTTTTATTTAAGAAACAATGCCATCAAAAGATGCATTTTTTTCTATTGATAAGTTTCTGTGCAAATTCTTTTAGAAATGTCAATACTGTATGTTATACTTGTTAAATGTACAATATACTGATTCATTAATGTATCTCCCTTCCTGATCAACTGATAGTTTCTCAATCCACACTTTGTCAATCTCATACTCTACAAGTTTTCAATTCAATCTTGAGTTTCAGTTGAAATATTGGATACTCTGTTTAAGGAGCTAGAAGAATTTGGTATATCTAAATAGTGGCAAAATAAGCAACTGATCAATAAAAATACTAGACAAATCCTATTCATTGATCAATATATATTAATTGCTTTACGTAACCATGTAAAAAAACCATTACATAAAGACATTAAATCATGACAACTTTGTGTTTATGGCTATTCCATAGGCAAAAATATGGAATCTGAACTCATATACTTTATATACTAAGAATCAAATGACTTAACTTGTGGATTCATCTAATTGAAATGGAGGATATGACCCACTTTGAAGATTCAAAACATTTTGATTGCATATTTTTAAAGTGTTCAATGTAAAAACCAATTTTTCTCTAAATTCGAGAGTACACCATGGCGTTTTATGGGTATATGATGCTACGCCATTTTAATTCCTATTCAATTCTAAAATAAATCCCGAGTATTTTTGTAAGAGCTTAAAACTTTGTTTCTATTAATATTGGATATTTCCTGCATTGAGTCTTGTTACCATGGGAGACAATAAAATGATCTAAGGGTCTATAATCATACACATAGAGTAGTTCTTATACAGGGAAGGAATCAGTCATGACGCTGATGAATAGAAAATATACTAGCTCTAAAATTAAAACATTACTACAAAGTATGCTCTGTGTGATTTTCTTGTGTCAGATGACCAAAGCTGCAAATTCATCAGGTAAGTTTAAACATATAATATTCTATAATATATAATGGTTAAGATACATATTTCTAAATGCTTGATATAAACTAATCATGAAGCAAATCATCTACAGTTCTATTTTCTTTTAAACAATATATCTCCTCCAAATGGGCTTAGCCTTTTGCATATGACAGTGTACATTGAGAAAGACACTGACTTGAAAAAGTAAATGACTTGAATTTCTTTTGAAACCAATTTGAGTAACATAGTTAAATTGACTTTCTGCAGAAACCAGTATAAACTGGCATGGGAAGATCTACAAAGACTTCATTGATAATGGAGTATATACACCTCATGTATTCCCAGAACGAGGCAATGGAACACCAATTGTTGTATCTGCAAGTTTATCTCTCACCACTCTGCAAGATATTGTAAGTAAACCCACCACAAAATATTTCAATCAGATGTACACTGTACATAGTACCATCATTATACCTTTTTCAACCACCAAACAGCCTTGGATTTCCCAAAATGATTAAACTCAAGGACTTGAAATACTAACTAATACAATGTTTATCATTGTGAGAAGAATGTTTTTTATAAAGTGTATGAAAAACAAGAAAATTCAGTGAAAAAATTCAGAAATTTTTCAGAATTTTTTTTAACAAAATTTTCTCATTTTTCATACATTTTACAAAACAAATCTTCTCACAAGTCTTTTCCAGGCACATAAGTGCACTCTTTGTGCAAACCTGGAAGATGTAGACAATGTGGGGAAGGAGTAATTCTTGTTTGAAAAATAACATGTGACTCAATTGAGGAATGCAGAAAATTTCCCAACATGCACCCTGGCCTTAATTTTACATTTAGAATGTTCTAAGTTGTTTGTCAATCACTTTCATTTTAGTAATGAGAGCACTTGTGCACAATTATCATTGTAGCTTAGTAATTATATGTAGAAGTTCAATACTGTCATTAACTGGCCATTTCAAAGTTTCAAGAGCAGTGCATGTTGCAATCAAGTGAAACACAATACACAGGTAGCCATCTGAAGTTATGCACCATATAAGGGTTTTAAAACCCTATGAAAAGTTGCAACTCTGTACTTTGGGAAATAACTTCTTCTGAGACATATAGAACTACCTGGAAGCTTTGTTAAAATATCAATATAGCTAAAATATGCATGAGCTATTAACTATTCCATCATTTGTCTTAGGATGAGAAGAATCAATTGCTGAAAACAGCGGGTGGGGTCATGATGGTAAGTAGTTTGAAATATTTATAATTGTTCTCAAAAGCCTCATTCATTTAGCAAAATCAATTTTTGGTAAGTGATCTATTATAACACAGGACTAATGGATCAAAGTAGTGTTATGGCAACCGAATTGTTTATATTAGGTCATAATAGAAGAATAGATCCATCACTTCTCTTAGTGATAACATTTGATTGACAGATTGATATTTGCTTCCCTTAAATTAAAAATACAGATGTCTCTTGTAGATGGAACAATGAGTTAATATTATGAGTAACATGTAATGTTATTATTTTCCAATGAGTTAATATTATGAGTAACATGTAATGTTGTTATTTTCACTGCATTAGAATGATCAGAATACTTGAAATGACTTGAAAGTATGTATAATATATTTCAGTATTAGAAAATCTCTTACAGTAACAATTAAAGCTATAAATCTGAGTATGCATTTCAGTTGTGGAAAGATGAGAGTTTCCAATGGAATCCTGAGGATTATGGAGGAGTGGAGAAAATCCATGTGCCTAATCATCATATCTGGATACCTGACCTTACATTTATAAATAGGTAAAGCATGTTAAAACTAATAGGTGATTTTAATATTCCAGTTAGATCATATGATATTTTAAGTACATGTATATACAACTATATGTATTTCAAGATTTATACAATCTTTGACAAATCATTATTGCCTCACACAATTAAGGTTGTGCTCATAGCTTTTCCAATCTTCATGTTCGAATACAAGACAACTGCATTTCATATATTTTCAGCCTGAACCTCAAAATATTCCAATATGGTTCAGACAATAAAGCCATAATCTACTCTAGTGGCAATGTGCTTTTTAGTCCTGGGCAACACATCAGAATTTTTTGTTTACTTCTTGAAAACATAATATCTTACATAAAGGGTGCGTGCGTAAGTAGCTTTTGCAAATTTCATGTTCAACTACAAGTCAAAAACTGCATTTCATATATTTTCAGCTTGAACCTCAAAACATTCCAATATGGTTCAGACATTAAAGCCATAATCTACTCTAGTGGTTATGTGAATTTTGGTCCAGGGCATAACTTTGTCACGTCCTGTGCAATTGATGTTACATACTTCCCATTTGATGTACAGACATGTCGTTTGTATATATCTTCATGGGTGTATGATGATCGTCAACTCAAACTAACAACTGACCCATGGCCAAAAGTAGTTAATCATAGTGGTATGTATTTGATACACTTTCATTCTGATTTAACATACCACCTTTACAAATAGTTCCTAAAGAATTAATAAGGCATATAAGAATATGTAAATATAGAAGCACACTTGTCATTTCATCCTTAAATCACTGGTCCTGTACTTGTTTACACTATTTCCTTTTTGATAACAAGATGACCACAATTCCGGTTGCACAGTTTTGAGTTCCAAAAGGACAGAATTCCAAAAGGACTTTTTTAACAAGACATTCTTCGTACAATGCCCTTAGGTTAATTTCGGAAGCTTTAAAAGTTAAAGTTCTTTCCATTGTCGAGAACCCATCCTCCAACACAGTGCTTTAGACATCATTCACCACATTCTTTCCTATTCTGGACAATTGTTCCTAGCCTATTTGCTGATCGCAGGGTGGAAGAAGGTGGTACGAGTTCTGGAGGCCTGTGTTTGGAGGATGTTGAAAACCCTGTAGTGTACACACTTCATTTTTATCTCATATAGGACTAGACAATCATGGAGAGTGGATTGTTGAAGACACATGGGTTGAACTTCAAACAGTGCCTTACAACGTTAATCCTTATGATGAAAATGGAGAAACAAACTATACATTCATTCAATGTAACTTAAGGTTTAGTCGGATGCCATTGTATTACATGGTGAATGTGATCTGCCCATGTTTTCTGATTACATTACTGAGTGTGTCAGTGTTCTGTTTACCATCTGGTTGTGGGGAGAAGATATCGCTTGGAATTACTGTGTTATTGTCATATGTTGTATTCCTACTCATCGTGGTTGACATGATGCCTCCAAGATCTGACAAAATGCCACTACTGGGTATGTATTTATTATCAACCATCATCATAACTCCAAAGTATTAGGCACTTAAACCACAAAACCAATAAAATGTCAGCCATTTTCAAAATGGCCGCCTACAAGCCATTAAGCCAAAGACAGGGTGCCATGTCATCATATATTAAACAAGAACAAAATCACATTCATTAATTTATTAATTACCATCATCAAAATAACAAGACATGACATTTTACTCACAAAACTACAACAATGACTGAGTATGTCATAAAATCTTTCAGGAAGAAGTACAACACTGTACATGATTTAAGCTATCAAAGTACGTGGGTGTATCTGTATAGACTGAAAGGATGGGAGCTTCAGATTCTAATAGATGGTCAATATTTACTGTATCAATGTATATGAGTTATTGAAAAAATTGTGACTATTTCAGGTGTATTTCTGGCTATTGTAATGATCCTGACTGCTTCTTCTATTCTGAGTTCTATATTGGTGGTCTCCATGGATGACAAGGCCTCTTATTCCTGGCCCTCACCACGCCTCCAGGCCTTCACAACATTCATGGCCAGAGTATTGTGTGTGTCAAATAAACTGAATAAGAGTAGTGCAAAACAGAACTCCAGACTGACACAAGTTAGTCCTTGTGAAGATATAAAGATTAAAAGTGAAGTTGATATGAATACGTGCCAAGACAGCAATATGGATGGAGAATACAAAACGGCTGAAGATCCTGATCATAGGCACACTGTGGCCTTGCAAGGAGAGAAAGGGCTTGGCTTGGATAGCCATGATTGGAAGTTTGTTGCCAGAGTGGTAGACAGATTCTTTTTATATCTCTATTTAATAATCTTATCACTGCTATGCCTTGTTAGTATTGTGCTCTGGCTTATGCCTAAAGCCAACAGTGAAACTAAACACGAATCATATCAATGATACTGTACACATGTATTAATTTTGTAAAGGTATTTTAGCATTCAAATTCTTCATTTAACCTATTGGTTCACTCTCCATTAAACGTACATGTTTTAATCACTCTTGTCATTAGAATGGAAGTGTACATGCAAAAGCAGATTTAAGAAAATAAGACTTCCTATAATATTTACTCATGCTGTATTTAACTCAATGTTTTAGGGAGCATAAAATATAACTCACCAGTATACACCTATCTACCATGCTCTGTGTTATCCCCTCTTGTTTTTTCTTGCTGCGAGTAACTCGGAAATTGTCGTCAGCCCCTCCCACAACCACCAAGCTGTTGTCACATTTCATACGTTCACGGAGATCTTCAATCTCATCAATGCTACATGTGTTAGAATTCTGCCCTATGACAAACAGTGTTGGAGTGTGACTGTCGATCATATTGTCTTCGCAGTCCTATAATGAAGTACAAACAGAGAAGTAAATGACCTACAGCCCCTGTACTCACACATTGAACTGTGACCAAAATGTGGCTTTTTGACATCAAAATTGAAAACCAAGGACTCAGAAGATGAAGATGACAGGTCAAAACTAGGTGGAGCAATTATTCAATGCTGGTTTAAACCTGCACATCGCTCCAAAACGCAATATGTTGACATATATTGTTTTTACATTTTTAAGCTCTAATATAAAGTTTATGTAAATAAAAATTGTTTTTTTCTGCGTTATATCAAAGAACAATCATTTTGTTAAAAAAAATAAAAAGGCGAATGCGGGATTCGAACCCGGGCCTCCCGCGTGCTAGGCGAGAATTGTACCGCTAGACCACCGTATTGGTTATAATGAATGTGGAAGTAATTAAAAATTTTGAATGCTATGATTCGGAAGTGACGTCACGTTCTTCATTTAGAGACCTTTCCAAAATCATATCGTCGGCGCCGATCGAAGCAATTCAATGAATAATCTTTGAAATGACACATTTATCATAAGTATTTCTACACAAGATTTGCCCCATTTGTTCATCATTCTATAATCTTTCATTAAGCTCAAAATGATAAAGTTCACCCCGAAACAACCCAAGATTGCGTTTTGGAGCGATGTGCAGGTTTAATACAATGTTAATTGTTGTTGTGAGTTTAAACCTCCTCTTAAATATGTTTTAGTGTTTTCCAATTATATAAACATATATATTTTATTACATGAATGTTGTTAACCATGTAACAATTGAATAAATTATTATTATATTGAAATGTAATCTTCAGGGAATATTTGATTTAATTTGAAATCTCCAATCACATAGGTCTGCCTCCTCCGAAACTGAAATAATGTTTCTAAACTTCAAAGATTGTTGTAAGTACTCACCCCTCTCCCACCATTGATGCCCTGCATAGGGAAGCCCAGACATACAGTGGCTGATACATTCTCAACATGGGACGCCTAGAAATAAATAAGTATCACTATAGTAAATTTATATGGTATACAAGCAGTTCTATTATATACATTATCATATATCTTATATCATATAAATTGAATATGGGAGACTTTGTATGGGCATTTTTACATATTTTTCATGTTCTTGTTCTGTTTTACATTCCTGGTATTTTACACAATAGGCCGAATGCATTGCCAAATTCAAATAGAGCTATTTAAGAAATCAATCTATATCACTGAATGATGACTACACATGGATACATTAGATTGATTGTATATAATATGAATTACAACTTAGAAATATCTGTAACCCTTGTGTAACATAAGAACAACCTATGTGTAGACCAATCAGATTAAGTTAGCTACATTCTTTGTATAGCTTCTTAACTAATACAAATTAATTAACACTTACATGGGCTGCAACTAATGCTCCTGCAGTCCAGCCAATCAACACTATGGGTCTATTCGGGAAATGACTCTTTAACTCTAGGACCTTGGTTCTCACTGCCCCAATCATATGCTCCAAACATTGTGCAATCCCTACACTACTGCCACCACTAACGGTGTGCATTGTGACTGGAACTACTTTTCCCAAATTATGAAGCTGATTAGTCCAGAATTTAGTCCTTCGTGAATTCATATTAGATGAGTGAGTCGGCCCATTTGGAGCGATCAAAAGCAATGGATTACCAGGTAATTTTTTCTGTAAATGCAAAATTCAGATATTAGTATACAGGATGTAATTCAGATGGCATCTACATTTTTTTAACATTAAAAAATTTGAAAGCTTAATAAGGGGTGTTCAATAAAATGATGTACGAAATTGCAGTTTTAAATTAATCTTCCAGTTCTATAAATATAATTTATGTGGGTATACTTCCACAGCATATCAAGCAAGAAGGCTGCATTCAAAAATTCAATATGAAAGTAATATTTCCTTATATTGGCATGTCAAAGAATAAGCCCATCTGTTACATAGGTCAGTTAGCTGATGCTGAAAAGTGAAATGTCCTGTGCCTGCCAAATCAAGACATGTGAATCACTGGTAAATATAACTCAAAATCTGGATCCACCCATGAAAACAAGTTACTCACTGACTTATGAGATGATATGGTACTGGCAACTGGGTCCCAGGGTCTCTTCAGCAGGAGGTTGAGGGCTTCAGATGATACAGATGTTGACCTTGAACCTGTAGAGAGGGCTATCATCTTGTCTATAAGACTGGGGATCTATAATAATAGATTCAATAAAACATCTGAGATACATTAATTTGTCACTTTTCTTAGTGTAGATGAAATATTTATGTCTTACATACCTGAAAGATATGTATTACAGCAAAGCATTTGTATGGAAGTCAATGGGAAAGTAAGCGGACTCTTTAATAATCATGACAATGACAATACCATGAAGTCATGCTTCATTTCCATCAAATTCTACTCGCACCTAGATGTTTGATGTCATTGGTACGAAGTATCCATGGGAATAAAGTAATACATCTGTTATGTCACAATGACATGGAATATCCCTTCGTTGTATAAGATAAGATGACAGTGATATAGCACTTAACGAAGAGAGATAATAAAAATCTCATTTTGATCTCTATTCCTAACTCCTTAATATGGAAAACCTACTAAATTGATGGAATCATTTTCACCAATTCTACATTATTCACCTTGGACTTGAGAGTCTGTAATACATCAAGGTAAGCAGCCAGCATTGAAAGGTTCAGATTCTCTAGTAAGACACTGTGTAGCCACTGGGTCAGTTTACTGTCCTATAATGTAGAAACACATGGGAAGAATTACAACTGGGTCAGTTTGCTGTCCTATAATGTAGAAACACATGTGAAGAATTACAACTGGGTCAGTTTGCTGTCCTATAATGTAGAAACACATGTGAAGAATTACAACTGGGTCAGTTTGCTGTCCTATAATGTAGAAACACATGTGAAGAATTACAACTGGGTCAGTTTGCTGTCCTATAATGTAGAAACACATGTGAAGAATTACAACTGGGTCAGTTTGCTGTCCTGTAATGTAGAAACACATGTGAAGAATTACAACTGGGTCAGTTTGCTGTCCTATAATGTAGAAACACATGTGAAGAATTACAACTGGGTCAGTTTGCTGTCCTATAATGTAGAAACACATGTGAAGAATTACAACTGGGTCAGTTTGCTGTCCTATAATGTAGAAACACATGTGAAGAATTACAACTGGGTCAGTTTACTGTCCTATAATGTAGAAACACATGTGAAGAATTACAACTGGGTCAGTTTGCTGTCCTATAATGTAGAAACACATGTGAAGAATTACAACTGGGTCAGTTTGCTGTCCTATAATTTAGAAACACATGTGAAGAATTACAACTGGGTCAGTTTGCTGTCCTATAATGTAGAAACACATGTGAAGAATTACAACTGGGTCAGTTTGCTGTCCTATAATGTAGAAACACATGTGAAGAATTACAACATGTATGATGAAAGAACTCAATACAAACAGAATTAAATTGTACAAGTGTGTGATTTTCCTACTCAGCCAAAAAAGAGAGAGAACTTTTCTCGCCAAAGACATATCCATGATATAATGTTAACATGCAACTGAGACTTCTATTTGAAATGTCACATCTGGAATAACCTCATCCTGGAAAGTCACATGACTGAAACAAGCCAATCAGATACATGAATTTGCAATAACATTGTGAGAATAAAAGAACATGAATACTCACCCATCCTACAGAAGCAAGAGCTTGTCGAACTCTCTTAGCTGTTTTATCAACATGGATGCGTCTCATTATTGGCTCATTATCATTCTACAAATCAAGAACAGGTTGTGTATCAGGCGTCACATCATATCAAATATATTGTGCTATAAATGGTTGTTGTAGTTTCCAAAATACCAATGTACCATGAAATGTCAATAGATAAACACTTTGAGCTGTTTTATGTTGAAGGGAAAACATAATGGCTGTAAGTTGAGAAGGTGTATGATGAGCCATAAGCTTTGTAATTAAGCTGAAAATTTAATATTTTATAAGTTTAGAAAATTGACATTGCACTGGTTGATTTTACATAAACATTAAGGGACAGCAAAAAAAAACTGGAAAAAATTCTTTCAATCCCCAACAGTAAATCATGACTTCTTCTGATTTTTACCAAGATTTTTTATTTCTGCTCCATCATATACTCACCCCTTCATATGCCAGTCTTGCAAGTTTATCTGCATGCAAACTCTTCATTACTTTGTTGAAGAGACGGTTCTGCTGAATTGTCCATCCGGTTCTGTAAAATTTACCATTGTGTAAAACAGAATCAAATTGCTCATTACCAAAATGTTAAGCAATACCAAGGGGTCTGTCGCTAACATACTGCAATTTTCCAGTACACTGTAATGTACATCATCAATAGACTTTGATAGAATATTAGACCAGATGAGAAAAACATGAGATTGCTCCAAATACTAAACACGATTCTCAGACCTGATATCCCAGTTATCTTCTTCATGGTTTTGTATATGACTGCCACAAATTGGGTAATCTGGCACTTTCTAGAAATCAAAATATGGGCAAAAACAAATTATTTTACTGGTTTCAGAGATTCAAATACATTCAACAGGTAAATTGGCTGTTCCAGGCTGTTCCATTTTCCTTTCATACTCAGTTTTCTCATTTAGCTACTCAACTCACTTTGTTATCTGATCTTCCCAATCATCACTGACTTCTTCCATTCGTGCAAAGTTGACATGTCGCTCACACTCATTCATGACATTCCTAGCTTTTTGTTGATCGTATGGTACAGGGGGATGAGCAGGCATGTTGACGACATCTATATTCGTGTTTGGCTCACTAGAAAGGAAAAAAATTACATTTATATTAAATAAAGTTACAAAATGGTTCTATCAGTCTCGTATATACTAAAGTGGGCTAATTATATATTCATAAGTAAGCATGATCGAACCAAAATATTTGATAGGATGAATTACTCGAAATTTTCCGAACCAAAACTTACGCCATCATTCGTTCAGCTGTTTGATTGCGTGGAAACTTGGCCATAAACAGAGTCTTGACAGGTTTGGCATTACTGGCATCAGGATGTGCACTCCAGGGCCTTGCATAACAATGGTCCAACATTATGATGTCAATCTCTTGCTCTGGTTGTGATAGATGGGACAGGAAGGACTTAGACTGAAGGTTATCGCCCTGTCCCCCAAGCCCCTGGTGTGGTACCCCCATAACTAGTTGCTCCACTTCGAGGAGGCCAGAAGCCATCTCAGCTGAAAGATATGTCAAAAGATGAATATATAAATGTAAATTTTAGCTCTGATGCCTACCTGTTTATTTGGTGAAGTAGGCAGAAATTTGATACTGTTCATTTAAGACCATAGCAGTTGCATGTTGTTAAGTCTGACCCACTTAGTAACCAGATTTTATTCATGCACCTGAATTATAATCATTGATATTTTATTTGATAATCCTAAACCGGCTAAAGTTACATCTGGGCAGGGTCAATATTTCAATGTCCATCAAAAACGTAATTAAATGCATTAGGGGGAGGGGGTAAAATGCTATTTAGTTTGGTGACAGACATTGATTTTTAATTTCCTAATGTTTCATCTTCTGCAATTTTTGGTTTGACAGGCATGGTATGAGATCATTAAATATACTCAACAGATATGTATAACATCAAAAATGTGTTATTTACGAGGGGTGATTCAAAAGTAATGGACAAAATTTTATAGGCACGCTTACCTTTACCAGATTTGAATGAAACTTTGTACAAATAAAGATTAATCAATTATCTATTAGATGTTAAATTTTTTTTAACTAAATGCAAATACATTTTAAGATAGAGCACTTCTCTTGGATCATGGTGCATACACCCGGAATCCATTTTTAAGGCTATTTTCATCATTCGACACGTTGTTGCTTTTGTTCTTCGGTAAGAAGCTTAGGAATCCACTTGGCACACACCCTTTTCATATTTAGGTCGCATTTTACAATCCTTTGTACTGTAGAGTAGGACACATCTGTAATGGAACTTATTTCTCTCAGTGTCAATCTCCTGTCTGCATTTAGGATGGACTCTACATGGTGAATAGTGTTATCAATGCGGCCAGTCTTGGGCCTTCCAGATCGCTTTAGATCTAAGACTCTCGTATCCCCTTCACTAAAGTGTTTGTACCATCGCTCAATGGCTTGCCTTGACAAGGCCTTGTCTCCATGTGTCTCTTTTATTTTCTTGACAACTGCCTGCCTTGTCTCTCCAGTAGCTACCAAATATTCAATAACAATCCTTTGCTTAACTTTGATTTGTTGTAAAGTAGACATTTCTTGGATGTGTGTGAGTCTAAGAGTCTGATCTACTTTCTGACTCACTGTGACTCATCATTCTTAGAAATATCATTGTGATGTCATAGCACAATTGGTTGCTGAATTTAGAACTCAACAGCAAACACATGGGCATGTGAGTCTTGCTTGACAATTGCATTACCATGCTTGTTAGACATATCATGTGTGGTAAATGAGTCATTAAAACGAAATCAAGCAAAAATGACAAAAACATTCAATTATCATTAAAAAACCAATTCCACCCATGCTTACCCTTGTTACCATGGTTACGCATAGCTGAAACAATTTCAAATGCATCTAAATGAGAATTCGACACAAAGTAGAGAATTGATTGATCTATTCACTGTGAAAAAATTAGACTGATTGGGTGAAATCAAGTATGCCTATAAAATTTTGTCCATTACTTTTGAATCACCCCTTGTATAGCAGTAGCAAATATTAAATGCTGGGGTTGTACTTATACATTGCAAATCAACATTTTGACTCATTCATGCACCACACACAAATCAACATTATGACTTTCGTTAGAAGGGGGAGGGGGGTTGAGACCTAACTAAATTGATACTGTATTGAACACATTGTAATATCATGCATACATTATGATCATGGGCCTGTTACTCTCAGTCTGCCCATGTGTACAAATCTTTTCCAGATTTTTCAGAATTGAAGCTTTATCTCTCATAAATTATTGCTACATGTATTGGTGTAAATAGGGGTTTGCGGAAAAGACCAACCACCGACCAGTCACTCTCCACAGTTGGGTCCATGAGGTGAGAGGTCGGTGCTTGGTCGGCATTCGGTTTTTTACACAATCACTAGTTGCGTTCGTTCGTACAATTTGATCCTGAGCAACATCAACTACACGTAATTAATCTTTCTTATAAGCAGATAAGTGTATTCTTTAGGTTGATCGTTTATTGCAGAGACGTTTCCAACGATCACGGACCTACATTTAGCTGTTTAGCAAAAATAAACTCTGAATGGACGTTATTTCACCTGAAATTCCTGCAGTTAAATCTTGAAATCTTAAAAACAAATAAGTGGGACTCCTCTTACCCTTCTATCACACCAAACTAGTTCTCAACTTCTCATTATGTTCTCGGAAACGGACTTTAACTGTGTATCAAACTACCCGAATGAGTAGGTCATCCAGAACCTAGTAATCAGAACGAGTGACCACGTTTTTAAAGAACGCAGAACGATCTGGACACACGGCGAACTTCAATCCTACTAGAAACGTATTACGACGTTGTGCAGTCAGGCGTAAATTCAGGTCGTGAGTACACCAACCTGTTCCGTTTGCAGCTTAATTAACAAATATAGCTATCACACCAAACAAGTTGTCACTGCGTTCTTTAAAACGTTGCCGAACTGGTTTTAAACTGTGTCCGAACTGGATGAACGTAGCTACAACTTTACGAACTTCATGGACTTGCCCGGACCGGGAATGTGATTAAGAATTTAGAATTTTTCTCTTCTGGGGGCCTTGTTACTGTAGCCAATATTGGGACAACGGTATTGGAGTTAATGCCCGGAAACGGCGAACAGACATAGGCCTATGTACGGACAGAAACAGGAATATTGTTTTCCTGTAAAATTGGTCAGTGTCAAGGCAGGCTTTTTTTCTTTTGGTCAGTCTTTTACATAGTGGTCGGTCTTTTACATATTTTTTCAAACCCTGTTTTGAGGCTACCTATGGAAAACACCGACCGGTCGGTGGTCGGTGGGGTCGGTCTTTTCCGTAAACCCTGTAAATAGGCAATGTATTCTTCAGATAGCCAGAGAATTTCTGTAATATAATATCTGTAATCTACAATGAAGGACCCACGGTCCTATGCTCACACAGTTTAGAACCTTCAGAGGAATTTATATCCTGACTTTCAAACAAAAATATTGATTTGGATTTGTAGTCTCGAACTTTGAGAAACTTAGATAGCATAGTTGTGTGACCTAGTTTGATGACCTTTGACCTTAAAAATTTTACTTATTCAGAGTACAGTAAGGTCTTTTGTGATTAAGCTGACCAAATTTACATCCAAAAATCAATTTGAAAAATCAACTTTTTTTACCTTTGGAAGGTCACTGAAGGTCAAATAAAGGTCAAATCCTAAAACTAATGTCAGATTTGAACTCCTGGTAACTTGTAGATGATTTTCAAAAAAGAATTTGGTCAAATTGAAGCAAGTTGAAAAATAACTTATTTTTACTGTTTTTTGACGTCAAATATCTCAAAAACGGTAAAAATTTGATGCTGACATATATTGAGAAATATGTAGGGAATGCTTAAATCTAGTAATGATGTAATTTATTGCAAGATATGATCAAGTATACGGCAAACTTTAAGAATCTTGTCAATCACAAAACCTGCCATTGACTTTATACATGAGAAAGTTTCCTGAAAACAACGAAGTCCTACTTTTTTCAAATTTTATAGAGTAAACACCAAAAACCGTAATTCCAAGAGCTTTGAAATCTTCAGAGGACATAAGTTGCATATACACCAACTACTAAAAGATATTTGAAAGTTCTACTTCAACAAAGTGTCTAGTATTTACAGTATTTTTGACGTCAAAATCCGCAATTTCTCGGAAACCGTGCGAACTTGGGAAATGGCGGTGATAGGTCAAATAGGCATTATAGATATGCATAAAATGAATGTGGATAGGACTCAATCCGAATAGCAGTTTTAATTTGTGCGGCCAATGTTGACGGACGGACCAACGGACGGACGGACCAACGGACGGACGGACGCCTGGTCAATCCCATAGGCTCACTGTGTGAGCCAATTAATAGAATTTCTCTATGCATAACATAAGCAATAAATTAGTGTCTAAATTAATCATGTTTCTTAGAAGGTGTCAGAGCGCTCTAAAAGCAAACTTCTCAATTTTCAAAATATTATTCAGGCTTATTTTAGGCTCACTCGCTTATGCTCGCTTGTGGTCTCTGAGTGAAAAAACAGCGCAACACCCATGACAGGGATGTAGCCAGCTTTCAGTCAGGGGTGTGCGATTGCCAAAAAAATTTGGTCTTTAATCAGGAGGATGCGATTGTTGCATAAATAAGACAAAAAATAAGATTTATTATTAAATGTCGTTGAAACACAGTGAATAAAATATTGAATGGATTTGCCTTCTTTCTTCAGCAACAGCACTGCTACCCACCTAGTTACACAGACGTATCGTCAGTGTATCATGGCTGAACTACTTCTGGGATTTGAATTTGGTAAGATATTTTTATTTCTCGATTTACATCTACTTATAAGTCACGATGTGGATTATAATTTGGCTCGAAGTTATGGGAGATAGTCTAGTTTGAGAATGTGTCGATGGTTTTAGGTTTGGTATGTTAACGAAGACGCATTTGACATATTTAGTCCCTCGCTTTTGTTACACTGACGATCGGCATTAATATTGCCAATATTACACTGATATTGGTCGTACGTCAGTGTAACAAAAGCGAGGGACTAAATACGTGAATTGTGTCTTCGTTAACATATAAAACCTAAAACCATCGACACATTCTCAAACTATACTATCTTCCTTAACTTCAAGCCAAATTATTATCCACAACGTGACTTAAAAGTGGGTGTAAATCGGGAAATAAAAAATCTTACCGTAACCTAGTCTCGGAAGTAGTTCTGCCATGATACACTGACGATACGTATGTGTAACTAGGTGGGTAGCAGTGAACAGGTTGTTTACTATTTTTTCTCGCACTCTTCAAATAATAAACATGGAAGTAATCGTGATAATAATTACATTTGTTCAAAAATCATTTGACATGGGCGATAATAGAGGATATTGAAATAAGAACGTATTTTAGATGATTTTTGATTAGAGTAACGCTATGAAATTTGGCGTGATCGAAAAATAGAATATATACTTACATAGCTCCAAATGATTCTGCCGAAAATGATCGATAACTTGAATAAATGAGTGAAAATAGTAAGATTACTTTATTTCCCAAACTTTGCCGAACAACTCATGTCCTGTGATAGACTCTTGTTCAAAGAATATAATCCCGTAAAGTACAGACTAATGGTCAAAATTATCGAACGCCATATTTTGTGATCCCTAATTAGATATGTCATGTGAGATTTATATGAAATTTATATAAAATACATTTATCAAATAGATTTATAATCACCTAAACACTAATTGATATATTAATCCGCCAAATAAAAACTAGATCTATTTTCTTAGTTCTACCATTGATGTATAGGTGTCTCTGAATTGTTATGGAGGGAAAAAGAAGAACATTTTGAAGATTATAAATTATAGAAAGTGACTTCTAAGTCTATCAATTGATCATTGCACTTACTGTCTGGCTAAGTATGATTGGACAAAGCAAGATATCATCATTCTTTACAAAAGTTAATTCTAAAAGAACCTCTGATGAAGCTCCTGATGATCAAAAAGTAAGACATTTTTGTGAATTTATTTATTTTTTGATTTTTATTACAGTAGCTAAGAGGAGGGAAAGCCCCAGAGTTTAAAGATGACAGACATAACCTCTCTTGCTTACCACCTTCGTTCGTTCGAATTTTCATCGGCTAGTTATCAAATATTACACTTCGATGGGATGTTTTAATTGACATAGGCATAATCCGTACACCTTTCCTTATCTTGATGTGAAATGAGAAGCTATGATATTGGTTAACACGCCAGAAATGAACATAATATTATTCGAAGCGTATTTCGAAAATTTTGAAACCGCCATTGATGACGACATTTGTTTGTCTTGACCAATCAGCGACGATGTCATCTCAATACAGATTTACATTATAAGCGTATGTCATCTTTGAACCCTGGTGTTTCTCCCCCTTTGACAGTAGCTTGAGCTTGGCCTAGGAGATAGACTCACAGGATCTTGTAGCACCTTATGATGACTGATATGGGGCTGCATGATATGGGTCTTATAGGGCCTATCATAGTGCTCATCTCATATCATAGTGCTACATGTCTCTGTGGATAGGCTAGCCTCTGCTTATTATCCTAACTTATAAATCAGTTTAGTATACATGTATGATTTGGTGGTTTTTTCTAGAGTTTTCATATTCAATCTAGGAGGAGAGTGACCAATCAGCTGAAGATTTTTCACACCATACCAGTGTAGGCCCTAACGATGGAGCATTAGCCTGATCATGTTACAATTATGCTCGGTAGTTTGAGGACAAGGAGGCAATGTCATCCATGCAAGTAATTCTGGGCCAAAAGAAGGCCTGCAGTGAGTGTCTGACAATACCTATGGAACGGGATAACCTACATGTACATGGACGACATTGCCTCCCTGAACTCGAATCATTCCCTTGGGCATTTCATCCCAGTTTTTGAGGCTGTCAGTATCATCTTAGTATCTGACACCTGGCGAAGTAAACAGATGTCATTAATGACTCAGCTCACACATGTCAATCAAAAGCTAGATTTTTCCACTGATTCAATCAAACTATTTTCTGGCTTGTGTAAAACTTTGGCCACCCAAAATGTAGATGACAGCCCCAACTTGAGGTGATAGCATGAAAGTATCACCATTCTGTTGTATCAACCCTTGGTATTAATTATAAGTTGCTGCTACAGTTCAGTTGTACACTCCCCCCAGTTTTCTGCAAGTTAAAATGCTCAATTCTGCAAGTGAAATTAGTGAATTCTGCAAGAAGAAATTCCGCGGATATTCGCGGCATTTTTTTATATAATATAAATAACTGTTATTAAATTTATGTCTTTGTTTAACTTTCTAACGAGAACCGAAAGAAAAACTAATGGTTTTCGAACCAGTAAACGGGAAAATATCGTGATAGTCAGGTAGTCAGTCACTACATACATGCTGCCATCTAACGGCAGAAATCAAACGATGGCGTTTAGAATTTTCACTTCGCATAATTTGGGTTATTTCTGCAAGGGATTTGACTGAAAACGTGTCAAATTGTTACAGGTAAGACTGACTTTTTAAACTTTTGGAAAATATATGGATTCTGCGGAAAATTCCGCGGAAATTGACCAAAATAGTTGATTCTGCAATTCCGCGGGCAGAGGCAAATTCCGTCCGCGCTCTGCAAACACGGAATCCTGGGGGCAGTGGTTGTAGTGGCTTAGTAGTTCCAGGGGGCGTTGGGGTGAAAAGGGTGTTTGCCATAGGGTGTAATTTTAATGATTTCACAGTTTTGAAATCACAACAAATCAGTGTTTAACTTTCAAATATTTCAACAATTTTGTTTAAAACATGTGATATTTTATAAAAAGTGTTCAGATTAGACAGGTTTATTTTCAAATATGATTGAACAAAAGTGTTCAAATTGGGAGGTGTTCACATTTCAAGTTTTTAGCTCACATGGTGAGCTTTTGCAATCACTCACTTGTCCGTCTGTCTGTCTGTCCGTCCGTCCGTCTGTCTGTCCTTCAACAATAGTGGCACGTTTTAAAACCTCTGTCGATAAGATTCCTGTTTTAAGTTATTTCTGTTCAACATCAATACAGAAAACCCCCCTATGACTCCTGGTTCAAAAGCTCGCCTATTTTCAAAATGGCCGTCACTTTTGTCTCGCGAAATTCACTTTTAGCCCATTTCCTAGCTAACCTCTGTCGATAGGATTCCTGTTTTAAGTTATTTCTGTTCAACATCAATACAGAAAACCCCCCTATGACTCCTGGTTCAAAAGCTCGCCTATTTTCAAAATGGCCGTCACTTTTGTCTCGCGAAATTCACTTTTGGCCCATTTCCTAGCTTTACAAATAATTTCAGGTGTCCTACATTGTAAAAATCCATGTCAATGTAAAGATTAGATATATGAAATAATTTTGTTACAAAAAATCAGCGAAAAATTGTATCCATTTTTTTGTTTTCAGCCATTTTAGTTAACATTGATTTGTCTATCTGACTTGCGAAATCCACTTTCTGTCAATAACAGTGGCGCGTTTTAAGACCTCTGTCGATAGGATTCCTGTTTTAAGTTATTTCTGTTCAACATGAATTCAGAAAACTCCCCTATGACTCCTGGTTCAAAAGCTTGCCTATTTTCAAAATGGCCGCCATTTTTGTCTCGCGAAATTCACTTTTGACCCATTTCCTAGCTTTACAAATAATTTCAAGTGTCCTACATTGTAGAAATCCATTGCAAAGTAAAGAGTAGATGTATGAAATAATTTTGTTACGAAAAATCAGCGAAAAATTATATCCATTTATTTATTTTCAGCCATTTTAGTTAACATTGATTTGTCCATCTGTCTCGCAAAATTCACTTTTGGACCATTTACCTTAAACCCTCTGTCGATAGGATTCCCATTTTAAGTATTTTTTGTTCAACATCAATACAAAAAAATGTCCTATGACTCTTGGTTCAAAAGCTCGGCTATTTTCAAAATGGCCGCCATTTTTGTCTTGTGAAATTCACTTTTGACCAATTTCCTAGCTTTACAAATAATTTCAAGTGTCCTACATTGTAAAAATCCATGTCAATGTAAAGAGTACATGTATGAAATAATTTTGTTACGAAAAATCAGCGAAAAATTATATCCATTTATTTATTTTCAGCCATTTTAGTTAACATTGATTTGTCCATCTGTCTCGCAAAATCCACTTTTGGACCATTTACCTTAAACCCTCTGTCGATAGGATTCCCATTAATTTTGTTCAACATCAATACAAAAAACTCTCCTATGACTTTTGGTTCAAAAGCTCGCCTATTTTCTAAATGGTTGCCATTCTTGTTTCGCAAAATTCACTTTTTGCCCATTTCTTAGCTTTACAAATAATTTCAGCTGTCCTGCATTGTAAAAAGCCATGTCACTGTAAAAGGTAGTTGTATGAAATAATTTTGTTACAAAAAATCGGCAAAATATTATATCCGTTTTTTTTTAAATTTCAGCCATTTTAGTTAACATTGATTTGTCCATCTGTCTCGCGAAATCCTCTTTTGGACCATTTGCTTAAAACCTCTGTCGATAGGATTCCAGTTTCAAGTTATTTTTGTTCAACATCAATACAAAAAACTCCCCTATGACTCCTGGTTCAAAAGCTTGCCTGATTTCAAAATGGTTGCCATTTTTGTCTCGCGAAATTCAATTTTGGCCCATTTCCTAGCTTTACAAATAATTTCAGGTGTCTTGCATTGCAAAAAGCCATGTCACTGTAAAGAGTAGTTGTATGAAATAATTTTGTTACAAATTATTGGCAAAAAATTATATCCGTTTTTTTTCAGCCATTTTAATTGACTGAGAGACAGATGGCTTGAAATAATTTTGTAACAAAAAATCAGCAAAAAATTATATCCGTTTTTTTCTGTCACCATGTGAGCCCAGTACCCATGGTACTAATTTTTTAACATGGGAGTCAATGGGAGGAAAAGGGATGAAATAGTGTTCAGATTTGGAAGTTCTGATTAGCCAGGTGTTTGGATATAAGTTATTCTATCTATATTTTAACATGGGTTCAGTGTTCACTTTGATAGCTTCTCCTCTGTCATCTTCAAAGAAGTATCAGGCCCAATTATACCAAGCCTTGAGAGAGCAACCCAAGCTGTACATTTTGTAGAGTGCAATGGCCTTTGAAGCACTTGGTCTTAGGGAGCTGTACCTCAATAAACATTATTCTTTGAATTGGCAATGCCATTTAGGAGAAAAAATAGAGGGAGATTGACATTTCTCACTTTGACATAATGTCAAGCATTGACTAATGTACATTTGTGCCAAACATGAATCTGATCGTTGCATTTATGTGGAAGTCAAAGGAAAAAACAATGGTCCCCTTTTTCTGGTCACCCTGTATTAAAAAAATAATATTTTGTTTTTAAGTGTTTTCTTTTTAATATACAAATCTGTATATTTTTTAATAGGAATATTATTCAAACATATTTTAAGTAGTTACACTATTTATGTACCCACCAGTTACATTTGAGAAATCAGAATCAGTCGGGGTTAGTGAAAAGCTGGGAAATGTAGGGGTTATTTCTTCAAAATTAAGTGGAACCATTTCACTATTTTGAATTATTCACCTTTAGGCTCCGAGTGCAACAAAGAAACCAAAGTTTGATGAATCTGAAGCAAAAGATGATGAAACAAAACCTGCTTCAAAATCAACCAATGAAGTAGCTCATCTCTCACCAACAAAAGATGTGATCCCCACACATGCAACACCCACCTCTTCACCAGAATCTAAAACACCAATATCCCCAGAGCAAAGGTAAGCGTTTGTCTGTAGCACTTTTGTGTTCATTATTATCTCACCAAATGAAGTTTGTAGGAATTTAGAGAAGCCATCCATCCGTCCATGCAAATTTCTGTCCGTCTGTCCATTCTCTGCCCAAGAATGAATTTTCAATATGGCCGCTCAATTCAAAATGGCCATCATCCAAATCTCTGATAATTTGAATACTAGTCGACCCGTTTGATTTAAATTTTGTATCCTGATGCTTAGAGACAAAAGACTCAAATACCAGTGGATGGATTTGGTTCAAATTCTATATGCTTGAGAAGACATTTTTGAGATGACAGCTGAGTCTAAGAATTCCCATTTTCAAATTCCCAAGAACTCCCATTTTTCAAATATCTCAAATACCAGTGGATAGATTTGGTTCAAACTTTATATGAAAAAGAAGCTCTGTTCAAGAAGAAATTTTCAAGATGACCGCTTATTATTTATCAAAACATGTTTTATTCAGTGGGCTTTGCTACTACTGGAAGTTGCTGTTTTCTAGTTTTATTCAGAATAGAATAATTTTAATAACACTTTTTTTTTCTTTGGTATAAAACATGAAATGCATGCTTTTTCAAAAAGAGAGGAATATAGGATATTGTATTTTGACATTTGGCAATTTTTCAGTGACCACATGATACAAATAAGATAAATTCATATTCTATACTTGTAGAGAAAAAATCGCACTACAATATTGGAAGTCAAATAAAATATTTAAAATTTGAATTCTGTTTGAAGGTCAAGAATGTTCCAAAGTAAGCTAGCTGCTTCCATTAAGTTGGCTGAGAAAAAGACACATGGTTTACTAGTGAACTGTGGACAGTCATGGTTCACTGCGCTGGAACCTGAATTTTCAAAAGAATACTTCATCAAGGTAAAACAGTTCCTAATATGGAAATTTTTCTACAAGTAATCCATATCTATATTTGATACATGGACATGCTTTATGCATGTTCAGATAGTTTTTAGAAATCTAAAATATCATGAAGATTCCCTCATTTTTGAGAGAGTTATTCCAAAATAAATGGGTGGCATTTTTTGTCACCCTGTACTTGAAAAATGTACTTGATTTGTTTATGGATCCTTTTCTTGTCATCATATCAATCAGTCACACTGCCATCTTTTTAAAGCTCTATAGCTTTTCTAGTTCATACAGGGTTTAAATCAATATGTACTCATATTAATATCTGCTCATTAAATGGCAAACTATGTAGTCAAAATCTAATTGTTATGAATATAAATCACAAATGTGTCTCACTTGGCCTAGCTAAGAGACAAAAGATTTTCTACCAAAATGAAAATCTAACAAAGTTTAGAACTTGAAAAATATCAGGATATAAAATGTGCAGATCAAGGAATCTTTTTATTTCCAGTTAGGTGAATTTGTTGCCTCTGAGAGAAAGAGGTACACCATATACCCCCCTGCTGAACAAGTGTTCTCATGGACAAACAACTTTGATATCAACAAGGTAAGACAACAATAATAGATATAATTCGTGCAATTCTCTCTGATTAATGTGAAGACTGCTCATGGCAGTGATCTCCCCAGAATTAAAGCAAGTGGGGATTTTGAATCAGGCTTGCACCTACCTGAAAATCCATTTGCACCCACTTGAAAATGAGAAAAATTGGCATATTTTGACCAATTTTGGTCTGAATTGTGAAAATGAGAATTAAACACCCACCTAAGAAAAAATCCAGGGGAGATCACTGCAAGGTACTTTCACATGTATAGCTTGGTATGAGACAAGGGAGACAATTGCTTCACTAATTTTTACAAAAAGAAATATTTTAAATTTTTTGACTGAAACTGAAAATTATGTCCCATAGCTGTAAAATATAACCTCTTTGGCTTAAGTTTTGTCTTATATACATTATGTACTTTGGGATCCTGGATACACCCCCGACTGCCAGATAGTATTCTTAACGGAATTCAGAAATGGAAATAGTCATAGTTATCGTTTAAATCATCTCAATATGCATTAATATGCATTTTATATACATGTGTTTTCAGCTTTATTGACAATGCATGTACTATCAGTACTTCTATAGAAATATCTAACTGTTCCATATTCATAGTTGTGGTAAGCCATTGTGGTATATCATGTTAAACGGATAATTGAATCGTGATGATGGACAAATAATGTTTATTGGGCATCCATGACATTATGAAACAATCAGTTAGCATCTGCACTGTGATGTTCAATTACCCATTACAAATAGATTAAAACTGTTGTGGAGACGAGACAATATGGCAAAGTTTGAGTTGTGTTTTACTGTTGTCACGGTTGCAACATGTTTGTTTTTTACTTGTTCTGCGGGACCTTTGGATGACTATATACTTCAACTCATTTTGGATGCTGGAGGAAAACTAGAAGGAGATCTTACATGCAGATTGAATGTTTCTGTTAAATGTCCAAGAATTGTAGAGAAGCGTTTCGATGGCTGGAGACCAATTTGTAAAGATAAAATGTCCGAAGCTCATACCTGTTGTTTCGCTCAGTTGAACACGACTGGACATATTGCAGCTGTTGGTAAGTTGAAATGTTCCAAGAACAATTGGTATTGTTAATATAATATTATTTATTGCTTTCATGTGTCCTTTGCAAGGGCCTGACCTCGTCAACATTCTTCATGTTGGAGGTAACTTAAACTAAGAAAAGAATGAAATGCTAGGTTTACATTTTTCTTGACAAAATTCAATAAATGGCTTTCAAATTCAAATTGACCATCATTTCAAATTTAAATTGACCATCATTTCAAAATGCAAATTGACCATTATATGATTTGCCTTGATTTCAATACTGTTTGATGAATCTCTGCGTATTTTGACATTTTATGGTACACATGTTGGTTTGATTAGTGGTGGAGTTTCTGTGTTCTAGTTGACAATGGTTGAAACTGTGATTCCAACCTATTACACTGTTCCACAACTAGTTACTTTGACTTCCGTCAATGAAACAAAATGGATGAACTTCCTGTATACGAGTTTTTTGTTTTCTCAATTTAAACTTACTTATAAGTCAAGTTGTGGATTATCATTTGGCACAAAGTTAGACAATATTGTCTAGCTTTAAGAAATGCTCTCTGTTTAGAATTTGATTTATAGATAAAGCTGTAATTCATGTATTTAGACCATCACTTTTGTTACATTGACGTAAGTCATCAAAGTAACATACATTGGTAATATAACGGACTTTTGTCAATGTAACAAAAGCGAGGGAAAACTCAAGAAAACAACAACAAAAAAGTTACCAGGAAATTCATCCATTTTGTTGCATTGACATTCCGTCAAAGTAACTAGTTGTGGAACAGTGCTGTTAAGAATTAAAAATAAATACTAACTTATAGAAGAAGTATTTGTGTTAAACTTCAAAGAAAGTGAAAATGTAATGGTGTAGTATGGACATAAATGATTCAAAATGTCTCAAATGGTTTTTCAAGTCATGAAAAGCAATATCTGAATGATTAAACTGTATTTTCAACTTTGCATGGGGCCTTAAAGTGTAATATATTATATACAAGATCTATTATATTTCAGGCTGTCACAGTACATGCAGCCAAGTTGAGGATGATTTACGAAATGTCAACAGGTGTACAAACGAGAAGCATTTAGCTAGTACTGGCAAAGTCAAAGTGAAAGTGTTCTGCAATGACAAGAAAGGCAAAGAATGTGATCTCATGAAAAGTGTCCATAAAATGTGCTGTGAGCTTGTGAGCAACAATGGTGAGGCTGGGGTGGTGTGTACTAAGAGATGTAAACATGTGACTGAAGGAGACAATTCCAATTGACAAAGATGATATTGAATTTGTCTAAATTAATAGTGATAGGTTTATTCAATGCATTAATGTATGGTAATAATACAACAAATGTCCTGAATAATGTATACTATACACTTATTTTTATGTAGTCATGTAAAATGTCTTATGTCATGTCAAATGCCACTAGGGTCAGAAAAAGTGTGTTCACTTTTCTGGCAGATTAAAGAAATGGAACCGTTCATATTGAGAGGTTTTTGGATTGGAGAGATGTTCAATATATCAACGGATATAAATACCTTTGTTTGTGAAAATGGGAAAAACTCAGTTTGTTCTGTGATGCCATTGGTTTTCATTATTTCAGGATTTTCTTTGCATATTTTCTATAGCTTTTTGAAATGTCATGATTTTTTCACATTCAAGGTGAAGGGCAATGCTATTTAGTTAATATGAAATAAGTAACATACTTTTACAGACATCAATATTTAGATTCATGGTCTATTGAAATTATTATCCTACACACTGTTAACCTGTTTACACAAATTAAATTATTCATTGACAGGCCCGTAGCCAGGGGGGGTTCGCAGGGTTCGGGCGAACCCCCCCCCCTGGCCAAAAATTCTTTCAAAATCATGCAGTTTTTCACCATTTTGAGCACTTCTCTAGTGATTTTAGCCTAATTTGGGCCAAAATTGTCAAATGTGAACCCCCCCTGGAAATTTTTGAAAATTGAACCCCCCCTTGGCAAATCCTGGCTACGGGCCTGATTGATCTAAATTATAAAAAGTGATTTGTTAAATGTTGAATTTAATATCTTGTGATAAAATCATGTTTGCAAGTAATTAAGCAGCAATAAAACTATGTACAGTACTGAATAAACTATGTTATTGTTTTTTATTATTAGTTCACATGGTTAGCTATTGCAATCACTCACTTGTCTGTCTGACCATCTGTCTGTCTGTCAGTGGTTCGTTATAAAACCTCTGTCAATAGAATTCCCGTTTTAAGTTGTTTTTGTTCATTAAAGATGGCCACCATTTTTGGTCATAGAAATTAATGGAATTGTTAAATCAGTTTGCATTTAAATGTTCTCGTATGTAAGTCCAATCTTCTAAATGTAATACCAATTAGGTTTGAAAGTCTAAAATGGTTGTCAAATAGACTGCAATCACTGCAGTGGCGTAGCTACGTGTACGCCAAGTACGCCCAGGCGTACTCTCAAATTTTAAGGAAAAATAAAATTTACCTGATTAATTGTGATGAAAAATAAATATTTTACCAAGAGATAGAAATCGATAGGAGATCTATGAAGACTCGTGTTAATAAATAAAAAAGTTCTCGATTATTTCATTTTCTTTGTTTTGAATCAGTTAGCTACTGATAATTAGAGAATTTTATTTTGTTTCAGTTGAGTTTTTAGCAGTTTGAAACACATTAAGTCATACTTGCGTTCCACAATGAACGAGGAAAGACTTTCTTGCTTGGCCATGATACATATCCATAAGGAACAGGATATAAACATTGATACTGTTATTGACATGTTCGCAAATGCAAAAAAACAGAAAGATAGAATTTATTCTATAGAATCACATACAGGTTGTTAAGATCCGAAATGGAGTTGAGACGGTCGTGTAACTGTTCTTTTATTGTTAATCATATTGTGAGCTAGATAAAAACAAACACAGAAAAAATAATAATATTTCATTATCTGTTAATAGAGTTAATTCAATCCCTTTAAAAAGCTATGTCAAAATGATCAAACAATACATATTTCCTTCATTGAATTAAGAGTGTTTAGTGTGTCCCCTATCTTCTGAACACCCGGGATCTTCCTATTTTATGGAACCATCGTTTTGTTAATTTTGATAAAACCGGGAAATCATACGGGCGTACACTCGCAAAATGGGCTAGCAACGCCTCTGCACTGCATAATGTAAGCCCAGTACCCATGGTACTATTTATCTAATAAAGGCTCACATCAGTGGTTATTAATTTGAGGAAGTCCTTTTCTAAAGCCTAATACATGTTTTAAATTATAATTTAGTTATATACCTGGTACCTAGATTATGGTGTAAGTGAATATCTCTCCTCACCATCTACCATGGGAAAAAATGTTTATTTCTGCAATTAACGTAATTAGAAAATTTGCTCAAAAAGACAAGCATATGAAATTGTATATAAAAATCATAAACCAAACATGTTATTTTACGTTTTTTAGTATAACTCCAAAAGTAATAGAGTGATTTTGTTCACATTTGATATTTGAATACTCATAAGCATGGCGCACTGTATTATGACACTTCGGCTTGTAGGCGCCCATTTTTCAAAATGTCCACTATTTACATTTTTGTTTTAAAAACAAACATTTTATGTTTTGTTTAAATTTTATATGTGCCTTCTTAGGAGCATATTACACTCTCTTATGACAATTTGGCTAGTAAGCGATTATTTTGAAAATTGTGGCCATTTTTATGTGTGTCATTTCATGATATGATTTGCAATGCTTTGACATTGCTGTTATCTAGATTTTCATTATGTTTTCTCCAAAAAATTGCCCAGTAAGTGTTGTCTGATAAAGGCACTCCAGATGGCGCAACAACCAATACCAGACATCTGGTATCCCAAATCTTTGGAAATACAGCCAATACTGAATTCATACATGTATACTACACAAAATCAAAAGCAAAATCTGTATTCCTTAAGCATCCATTATGGACAAAGTTCAGAAAACCCTACACCATTGAGATTTTGTAGGATCAAATGAGTACATTCTACTGGGCAGGTACTTCGTATATATTCAACTAAATATTTGTCATTTTCAGACAAAAGTAGTGATACTAGGTCAGGACCCATATCATGGTCCAAAGCAAGCCCATGGTCTGGCCTTTAGTGTGCAAAAAGGTATATCCCCACCTCCAAGCTTGGTTAATATATACAAGGAACTAGCCACAGACATAGAGGGATTCCAGCACCCTGGCCATGGTACCCTAACTGGATGGGCAGATCAAGGTAAATAGAATAGTGTGTGAATATGGTTAAGAGTATCAATGAATTAAATACTATATGTTTTACTGTACTTTTTAACCATTCGATCATGCTTTGCTCCAGGTGTTCTAATGTTGAATGCGTGTCTCACTGTGCGTGCAAGTCAAGTCAACTTGTTTTACATTTACTGCCTGTTTTCCTCCAGGTGTTCTAATGTTGAATGCGTGTCTCACTGTGCGTGCAAGTCAAGCCAACTCACACAAGGACAGGGGATGGGAGAAGGTTACAGATGCTGTGATCCGTTGGCTGAATAAGAACCTGTCAGATGTGGTTTTTATTCTCTGGGGATCATACGCTCAAAAGAAAGGCACTTTCTTGGACAAGGTTTGTGTCCGATTGTGTATTTGGATTCTAATCTTAACTCGTAATAAATTGACCAAAAAATAATATTTGTCAACCTGCTTGTTTTGGTGGTATTCTATATTTGAGATAATAGTGAAGTGGAGAAAAGTTAGACTTTTGTGTACTTTGTGTACACCACATTAGATGTCAACCATAGATAACTTGGGGGACCTTAATATTATAGAAGTTTTTGAGGCTTGGTTGGATAAAAGAAATATGCTGTTTCTAAAAGTTGATTGATTGATTTTTTAAATCATTATCCCATCGAACAAAGTTCGGAGGGATATAGGGAACGCCTCCGTCCGTCCGTCCGTCCGTCTGTCCGTCCGTCCGGGCAATAACTCAAATACCGTTGGCCTGATTTTGTTCATATTTTGTACACATATACCCTATGGGGGTAGAAGTTCTGCTCGAAAGCCGATTTTCAAAATGGCCGCTCATTTCAAAATGGCAGCCATTTTAGTGCCGATTTTACAGTAATTTAGGTGCAATATGTAAAACTGTAATAGCAATATGTTTTAAATGTAAAAAAATTATAAAGGACATTAATAATGCTACAATAGATATTAAAGAAGCACATGGCAGCCATCTTGAAAAATGGCGGCCTTTACTCGTCATTTTACGATTTTTGCTGTAACTCAAAAAATAGTGGAGCGATTTTGATCATATTTGGTATGTGAATACTATAAGCATTGCAGACTGTCTAAAGACACTTTTGGTAGAAGGCGGCCATTTTGAAAAATGGCCGCCATTTTAACGTATTTTACTATAACTCGAAAAGTAGTGGAGCGATTTTGTTCATATTTGGTATGTGAATACTATAAGCATGGCACACTGGCCAGTGACACTTTTGGTAGAAGGCGGCCATTTTGAAAAAAAAATTGAAAAATGGCTGCCATTTTAACGTATTTTACTATAACTCGAAAAGTAGTGGAGCGATTTTGTTCATATTTGGTATGTGAATACTATAAGCATGGCACACTGTCCTATGACACTTTGGGTAGAAGGCAGCAATTTTGAAAAATGGCCACCATTTTAACATATTTTACTATAACTCGAAAAGAAGTGGAGAGATTTTGTTCATATTTGATATGTGAATACTTTAAGCATGGCACATTGTCTAATAAAACTTTTGGGAGTAGTCGGCATTTTTGAAAAATGGCCGCATTTTTATGTGTGTTATTTTACAAGTACGTGTGCGATTTCAAAAATTTTAGAGGTGGCTACTTAAAAGCATATTATTTCTTCTGATGACAACTTGGCTAGTGAGCAACCATTTTGAAAATGGTGGCTTTTCTGGTGTTTTGTTTTATGATATTTGCTATTCGTTTGTAAAAATGCCAGCCATTTCTGTTCGATGGGATTCGCTACGCTTTGGCGTTGCCATTGTTCTGGGAGTTGATTTGATAAAATATTTTATGATTTGTAAGGCAAATAAAAATAATCTATTCAAAGACAATACTACAAAAAAAACATTCTGCTTGATGATAAAACATGTAACTCCTCCTACCCTTAAAATGGTCTGTACCTTCAGTGTGATGTTTTATTTTTCAGAGAAAGCACCATATCTTGAAAGGAGTTCACCCATCCCCCCTCTCAGCACATAGGGGGTTCATGGGTTGTAAACATTTCTCTAAGTGCAATCAACTGCTAGAACAATCAGGCAAGACACCCATAGACTGGACACATTTGCCTCCCATGGATTAGACCACTAATTTGGGCTTGTGGATGAAGTGTTTAAACTTGAGATACAGATGATCTGATAATAGGGAAAACATCTAGAAGGATGGGAAGGATAAATCAAGTAGAAAGATCAGGCAAGGCATCCATAGACTGGACATATTTGCCTCCCATGGATTAAACTTATTAGTCAGCCATGTGGATTAAGTGTTTTGAATGAGTTACAGATGATCCAATGACGGAAAACATGATCTTAAAGGATGGTTATCAGTTAAAAAGAATGTAAAATGTTTTAAAATGTTCAAAGTCTGCTTTTTCTTCTAGTCTCTATGGATAACACTGTGATGGTGTATGTTTATTTGGTTGCATGTATATGTACATGTTATATTTTTCGTCTTAAGTTTGTGCAAATACTTGGTGTCTTGTTATGGTCTCCGTTTTCTTTGGACAGCGGTTGGCGATCGGCGTCTGTAACAAATTCTTACAACTTCCAATAACTTCACAAATACTGTTTACACTGGCTTTTTTCAAAGTCATCTACAAGTTTTCAGAAATTAAAATCTGACTTTAGATTCAAGATTTGACCTTCTCAAGATCAAAAAACGTTAAAAAATGTCAAAAAGGTATTTTTTCAACTTGCTTCAAATTGACCAAATTTTAAAAAAAATAATCTCCAAGTTCTCAGAAGTCCAAATCTGACTTTAGATTTGACCTTCTCAAGGTCAAAAAGGTCTTTTTCCAATTGCTTCAATTGACCAATTTTTGTTCAAATTATCTACAAGTTGTCAGAAGTTCAAATCTGACTTTAGATTTAAGATTTGACCTTCGATGACCTTCTCAAGGTCAAAAAAGGTCAAAAAGTTCTTTTTTCAACTTGCTTCAAATTGACCATATTTTTTTTTCAAATTCATCTACAAGTTCTCAGATATTCAAATCCGACTTAAGATTGAACTCATATATTTACGAGTAACTATATAGTGACATTTTGTCATGTTAATGCCTTGTATTATGTTACATAAGATGTCATCACATGTATTACTGAAGTTGATTAAAAGGTACCATTGTTATCCCTTCTCACATGATAGATACACTACATATAACATGCATTGTTAAATAGTAACCCGTGTATAAGGTTTGTAAAGTAAGGTATAAATTTTCACATTTATACCCGGTTATATAGTCTTGCTTCAAGACCCTGGAACACCCCCCCCCCCTCTTATCTACTTTTACTACACCAGGCCCAAGAAAATTGAACTGTGAATACTACCATATTTTTAGTAAAAGTACTGTTAAATAAGGTTGTTGTACTGTTAGCAAGGTTGTTGACAAATAGCATTTTTACAAGGTTCCTGAGAAATAACATTGCTGTAAAATGTTCTTAACAAGTAGCCCTGCTATTCAAGATTAGATGCGACATCTATAAAACTGAATAAACTTTTCTAAAAGAAATGACTTGCATGTTTATATTAAATACATTTTAAATAGGCATTTTATGAAAGAAGTTGTTTTGAATTAAGATTTATTGACAGAGAAAGGTTACTATGTATAGATGCATGCTAACATTATTTAGACTGATGTAAAGGCCTTGTTCAGTTGTTAAGTGCTAGATATATCTTGAGAAACAATCTGACCCCAATCTGTATGATGCACTCCATGTTCATTGACCACCGTGCGTAGTCCCAACTGCCAATTGCAATGAAAAACACATTTTTATCTATTTGGACCACCCCGTGTAGTAATGCTTTTCGATAGTAAATGATTGCAACCGAGTTAACTTTGACGTCCACTTGTTGAATAAAACTCTTATTGGTGACGATTTATAAAGCATCTTTTTATTAGTTGTGGTAAATATTTACCAGACATTAAAATCCTTGGTTTAGGGAGACTAGCATGCCAAACCAATTAAATTTTTAATTCTTTTGACACTTTCTAAATTCTCACGTTGTTTTATTTGTCCTATTCATTTTTGTTACATTTCTTTAGAATTCCACATCTTGTTTTAGCATTCAAAAGGACTGTGTCACGGTATGTTGACACCTGATTAATATATCAATATCCCGTTTATTGAATTGATTACCACGTGCAATATCCTGTACAATTACACGTAAAAGAATGTAAAACTAATAAAAAATAATCAATTAAACTTTCAATTAATTAGTTAAAAAAGAGTTAAGAAAAGAAGAAGTACATGAATACACATTGAGTCAGTGATATGCACTTGGGGAATGCGTCAAAAGTCAAATTGGGATACGAAAAAATAAATACACCGAATCGTGCGTTTTGACATGTTTAAGATAAACAGTAATTATCCATGAAAAAAGATGTTTTGAAATCCATTAAATACCAAACTGTGCACCATCCAGATCAATGTTGATTTGTTACTCGTAAGCAAGATGTATTTCTTGTGTTACACAAGGGTATGCATTTGTTCGACTTCTTTTCTCAAAAGAGAGCTTCGTCTTTATAGCTAGACTGCGCACGGGGTTTGTTTATATTAGAAAAGATATATCACCAAATCTTATTTGTTTCAATATCTGGCATATTCTATCTTGATGCGTGCCTTATAAAATTATAAGTTAGGTCATCAAGCATTTAACATTTGACACATTCCCTTTAACATAACCGCTATATATCGATGAAAAACAACGCCTTTGCAATCGTTTCTTTGATTGAACTACAGGCATTATATTTATTTGTTCTTTGAATTGTTGACACAAGTGAAAGTTCATTACATCAGATTTGAAATTAATGTGTCAATCTATTTCCATTTTCTTACCCATAATCCAAATATTTTAGAAATTAAAACTTGAAAACTCGGGGTCAGACCGTCCAAGAACAATTCACTTTAATAATTTACGTCAATATTTCACTTTAAGTGCAAATACTAAAATGGCCAGATTGATCTCAAGAGGATAATAAAAATACTGGGACAATTGTATCGATGTAAATGAATTCGGATTAAAGTTAGAAATTCGGACCATAGTACTTTATGGGGAATAAGGCACTTTTATAGTTTTTATTCGGGACCTGTCATTTTGTAAGTGTTGTCCTATTTTTAATATTTATCTATTGTGGAGTATACGATAACTAAGCGTCCGTTCTTCCGAAAATTAGACAATCACATAACTAGTACCTATTTATGTCAGTGCAAATATACTTCCGCTATTTGTTATATATACGTATTGAATAGAGTATACGCCTGCGTTTCCTGAATGACAGGTTAATTGGTAAACATTCCATTCATTTGGGTTCTGTAAACCATATAAGTATGCGTCAAGTTAGGTGAAAATCGAATGACAAGCTGGACAGGCAAGATAAAAATAAATCAGGAAACGGCAGAAACTAAATTTAAAAACTTACAATTATTAGAATTATTTTTATGATTCTACATTAAAATCGTCTCTTTTCTATGAAATATGGATATCTGGACTATTCTGTGTTTCGTGTTTTGTTTGACTACTTTCGCTCAAGCGCATCCTCGAAAACGGGAAAATAATGCTAGAATACGTAGAGCTACAAAGGATTTTAATTTACATCGGGACTTAGTTGAGAAGGCCGATGTGTTAGATGCAGAAAACTGCCACAGTCGAGTGAAAAGATCCAAATATAAACAGAAAATACGCCACCCTTCAAGACTTGCTCAACATCATCACAGCGAACACGCAAACCTCGGAAAAGGACTCTATTTTTCGGGAGAAAGGGAACGATTGTCTCTTAAGTTAGACAGAAGCGGCAAATTCCCTGGCTCAAATAATGTTATTCCAGCTAAGGAATTTACTGTCTCGATATGGGTGAAACCAGAAGGAGGGCAATATTTTGAAGTGCCAATAATTCGTAAGTACGAATACTGTTTGTGCATTGTAGCTAAACTAGAGTAGCTATCAAGTGTTTTTAATTTTGGATATCATCTTGTACTTCCGATTTTGATTAGCGCATCGACAACACTATTCTCGGAACCTTTTAGATTAACCAAATCACTTCAATTTTAACATTCAACCTGATGTAGCCCACCAGCGTTCATATGAAACAAATGTTAATTATCCTTTTTAGAATTACTTTTATTAAAGCATCGTTCGGGATTGTGAAACATGAACTGTCTTACTGCAATGTTGAATTCTGATGATGCAAAACCAACTTATTTTTCTGAAAAAATCTTAAAATTTGAATTTCTGCAATTTGATGTCACATTAGGGTCAACTTCTCATGGGGTAACGTCATCTCGAAAAATAATATTGCTTCGAGTGTAAGACCTACTCAAAAGTCCCCTTGTCGGAAAGATGAAATACTTTGATCTTATGGTTCCAATTGACTCGAATGTTACAATAATAAACCCGAGTAGTTAAATATCGTATAGATAAATATTTTACAGACGGGCGTCTTCGCATGCAAACAAATTCCCCCAAAATCATTGCTGCTGCTTTTTTATAAGTAAACAAATTTTGAGTTGTATGTTTTTGTTCAGTGACTGATCAATTGAATATCAATGGTTCGGAGTAAGTATTTAATTCATTTATCACACCGAAAGTGTGGTATCTAATTGTTTTTTGTGTTGTCAGGACGGAGATCAATATGCTCCCCAATAATCCCGTGTCACAAAGATTTTTTCTGGCGTCAAAACAACACTAATACTATCGGGAATCAATTTGAGCGCGTCGGTCAAATCACTGATTTAATCGATTTGTAATTCATTCAAGCAGTGAGAAATTCTGAAATATTTCTCATTTGATGCATTTATTTGTTCTTGGTATATTCAGATATTTTAGGGGATTTCTTCATTTCCCAAAGCCCCGCGTCGCACCTTTGCGGTTGACAAATCCAAATCCACTCTTAATTCCAGTACGGCTGATGCACTGCGCATTAATCTTTATAGTGCGGTAAGAGTCCTTTCTAAAGATTTCCTATGATTATTTCACAACGCTCCATTTTGAGTTATAAAAAATGTATTCGTCGAAATCCAAATTTTGATTCGTCAACCACAGAGGGACCTTATAGACGAACTTATGCCATGGCTTTTAAACCTACCGTCACTCTTCTCGCGGAAAAGTGATTTTTCCTAGCATCCGGGCTAGCGATGAGTAAATTATGCATCAAGTCAATGTTAGAAATAGAAACAGAAACCAAAACAGAAAAATCACAATGATTACTTAAGCTAAGCATTGAAACATATTATCATTGATAGACTATGTAAACTTAGACATAATCGCAATGCTACTTCTTGCTAAAGTTCCAAATATTATGAACTGTTCACCTCCAGCGCACTGGCGAATCCAAAGGGGGGGCAAAAATTTTAATGGCCTCAATTAGTGGCCTTTTTGGTTATTACTTGGCCTTTTGGGCCTTTTTAGAGCAAATTGTCAAAAAGGGCCTCAAATTTTCAAAACTTGGATTTAGGGGCCCAAACTTTTTCCCAGATTCCACCCCTTGTTAGCTTCCGGATCCTCCAGTGCAGTGTGATAGCAACTTGGAAAATGTTTTGTTATGTTTAGATAATTATATTTACATTCATATGGTATTATAAAAAATCTAGGTAACATTTTCTAGAAATGCGAACTTGAATTAGTTATACTGACATAGTTTAACAGTCAATAGGGCAACTACTTGTCCCCTGGATGTTTTACATTGCATCATCACTGGCACTGCACTTTGCAAACTAGTTTCCGAACGGATCCATTTCGGTAACAAAATGTCGGAACCTCGAAGTTACATTTTTTCTTTTTTCCTTGTTTCGCGAGTTGTAGGCAGAATTTCCACAACATTTTCATCAGAAACGTGTGTCAGTATCACATGTTTAAGAAAATGTACATGTTTGCGATCAAATAGTCCAGACAACAGAATCATCGATTTAATACCTCACTATTAGGCTACTACATAAATGAAATGAGTAGATCTTAATCGTTTTTACCGAAAATATTTGGATAGTTTATGTTACAGTAATCTCGATGAATCAGGGAATTAAAAAAGAAAAATCTCACCGAACTTTTCGACCGGTGTAAAAGGGTAGGTGGTCCTATCTACTTTTGGTCCTACTCTCTATTGATTTATATGGTAACCTAATTACAATTATTTTCCTTATTATCTTATACACAATCAGGGCCAGTAAGGGCCGATTAGAAAGGGGACCATAATCCCCAGTGGACCATAATTTCTTTCACACCGGAACCGAGGCCATCTTGATGCCCGAATGGATCGACCGCAGAACCGGTGATCATGACATACATGGTTGTCGTGTTGCTCCCGTGTATTTTCACGATCCAAAACCTCCAGAGTTTACTGAAAGATTTTTGAGGCCCTGGAAATCTATGAATCAAAGTTTAATCCTTATGCAGGAAAGGGGCAATTGACTATTGAGTTATACTAGGTGTTATACATACAATTACAATATTATCAAAAATCATTAGGCTAATGAAAAATATAATTCCGTGAGATGAATGGTCGATGTATGTAAAAATCGGAGCTCCAATGTAATTACACAGTGCCATGTTTGAACTATTACCCTATTTTACATTCATCCTAGTTTCTTACCTTCATTCTAGCCGTTATATTAACGAAAGTACAGGGTGCCCCCAAAATATACAAACCACTCATATCTGTCTAATTTTCCTTTCAAACGTTATCATCTACATTTGTAATGTCATAAAATGTCAAAATAGTGGGTTGTTACAGCACATATGCTAACATGTAACGTTTGAGGCTATCAAGGGGATAGATTTTATCTCATTATTCCGTATGTTTTGTATAGCACATTGTTTTTCATCTTTCCTAGGTCTGCGTGACGACTGCACAGGTCCATTCAAAGGAATAGGGTGGACTGTTGGAATTCAGACAACTGATGAGCATAAGGAAAAGGCAGCGAGGTTTTACTTCTCTCTTCAATCGACCAGGAATAGGCAACCCTCCATTATTTTTGCAAAAACATCGTACAAACCAAATATATGGACCAATCTGGTTGCAACGTATGATGGTAAACGCGCCAAATTTTTCATCGATGGAGCAAAAGTCGGTGTTAGCAACTCTCAAAAGGGGGAAGTGTATCACCCAATAGCAGAGCACTGCGGAACTATAAGTATAGGGGGAACAGTAACTGGTAACTCTGATGGGGATGAAGGATCTTTTAGAGGAACTATTGAGTCGTTTACTATATTGCCCGAAGCTTTGAAACATCACTCTATTATTCACAATCCTCAAAGCTTAACAGAATCACCAGATGCTGTGTACACTGATACATTTGATGATTTGTCTAATTGGCTGCAAGAGAAAACAACAAAGGCACCCAAGCTAGTTGACTCCGATATTCAGGTGGACCATCATGATTTGGCAGTTGTGTCGCCACCTTGCGGTCAAACAATATGCGATGACCCAAATGTTGTTAAGAGTTATTCGGCACATTGGGAACTTCGGAAGTCGAAATCAATCCGCTACAGAGTTATTAACATCATGCATGACGACGGAAGCGACCCAACGGTCACTGTTCAGCAGATAAGCAGACAACACAAAGCTCTTAATAAAGCATTCAGACCGTACAACATCTCGTTCATACTTCAAGTGGAAAATGTAAGGAACACTTCTCTACGACAGAGAACGGTTCTGTTTGGTTGTCTGCCTGATCATGTTGGTGATGACAAATGTCATCCCGAATGCAATATTGCCATAACTGGTTATGATGGTGGGGATTGTAGAGAGGATACTGGAGTGTGTGACCCAGCGACAGTTGGAAACATGCAATGTGATGATAGCTGCAACACGGCCTACTATCAATGGGATGGCGGAGACTGTTGCGACGCTGCATCGGACTTGGCAAGATGCTTTGATCCAAAATCACAAAACAGGTATGAGCCAAGTTTGTAATTCAATAAGAAATTTGTATAACAATTGAAATCGAAAATTCGTGTGAGCAAGTTCTAACACGGCCTTTTCAGAGCTTTTACGCTCATTTAGCCCTACATTATCCAGTGTGTGTAGGTTATTTTACTACTTTCATTTTTTAAGTTGCACTTGTATGACTTGCAATGGTTGATATTTTAGAGCTTATGTGACTATAACAGAATACAAAGAAAGTATTGGAATTGATGGGAAGGATGCACTAAATATACATTTTGCAAATTGGGATAAGGATCAAATGATTGCCAAAGCTACATTTCCATGGGAGAAACACGTTTTTGGAATCACAGGTTCGTTAATAAAACATATTATCAAGTATATGAAGATGATTTAATTTTTGTTGTTTTAAGATTTTATTTCCAGATTCTTAATGATACAAATGATTTTAAAATCAAAAGTAAAACTATTCTGAAATTTTGTTGTATATAGCAGACATACGTCTGTAACCCTTTCAGTTCAATTGTACAAGGTCCATCTGTATAATTTGAATTCAATATGTAAATATTAAGTGGTAAATAAGTATAGATGGAGATGCGTTTGTTTTTTGACACCCTGTAGTTCTGATCCATATTTCATAGCCCTACGTTCCGTTCGTCCCACTTGATGAACAATCTCTTCCAATGTAACATCTTGTCACTTTCAGGGGGAACTGTTATTAAGCCAAGTAGCTTTGGAATGCCAGGTAAAATGGACAATCTTATCCATGAAATAGGGCACAATCTGGGTTTGTTACATGTTCATCATGGAGTAACGGGCGTTGACTGTATGGACCCATGTAGAGAAATCAAGGCATCCATGGAACTTGGTGACCTCTGTTCTGACACTAATCCAACAGTCACGAATAGTAAATGTGCAGACCCCGACCCTGTGGACCAATGTGGAGTCCTGACTAAATTCATCAATACACCGTTCAATAACTACATGAGCTACGCAGGTGAGTATAATTCACGGAAATCTTTTATTTTGCTAATTGATTGCATGTTGAGCTTTTTTCATATTATACTTAATCCAGGCATCTAAATCTTTAATTGAGGATTCTCAAGGATGTGTCAGACCAACCAATTATGTGATTACTGCTTGTAATGAATCCCCGGTTATTTTGTTGTTCTTTGTGTTCACTGTAGATGGTGACGATTGTACAGACTCTTTTACAAAACAACAGATGGCTAGAATGCACTGTTACTTGGACCTTGTGTACCTCCCTTGGCAAACCATACAGCGACCGTCTCCCATACCGCTTCCACCACAGGTACAGCTTTTCTTCTGCAAGTTTAACTGGGCTTTCATACCCTGTACATATTCTTCACGTTCCCAAGAATATCCACTTATAGCAAAACTGTTAATTTATTCATCGTTCTCTCCAGGTGATAACAACTTCACATAGCTCTGTATCAATCGTATGGATTCCACCAATGTCTCCCGGATTCACCGGAGTGAAAGCAGCATGCAGTGAATGTCTACCCAATAAATCATTGGTCCAATACGCCTCAATAGCATCGTCACCAAATTCCCCTGCAGTGTCAGGATACTGGTCCCCAGAGCAGACCACAGGTGAGGATATCCTGGCATTTTTGTTACCTGGATGAAATATTACCCCACGAGGATTAATCTCCGCTTTCCTATATTTCCCGTTATGCCCCTCATTGATTAGTACGAAACAGAAAGAAAATTGGGTCACTATAAATCAATTGAGAGAAAATGTATATTTCGCCAGGACCTTTTTATTACATGTAACATGTGGCCTTATCCCTAACTACCATCATTTGCCCCCAATAGGTCCCCCGGATGCTGAGCTCTGTGAAGCAAGTACAAAGGCTTGGATTCCTCTTGGGGCAAAACCCTACGGATGCGACACTGTTGATTGTTACATAGAAGTGGAATTTAAATACCCAGCCATTGCTCACAGGTAACATAATTTATTTATTTTAGGAAAATAAAGTGTTATTGGTTTTGGGATAAAATCAATCCTTGCCATATCTGCATGGATTATAATCCTTGGGGTTATGAGTTTTTTTTATTCGCGAATTTCTCTTTCGTTTGTCATTTATGTTTCTTCATAACATCACTCAGATACTCTCTTTGTCCCCTGAATTATGTAAATGGTTTCGACTGTTGGTTTAGTTTATATCCTACGATGTTTTGGCTTTTATTTGTCAAAACTAGTGTTATTGCACCGTTGCATTAGTTTATAACTACCCTATGTATACTCCTCTCTTTAGATTTTACAACCGGAAGTCAACTTTTGAATCCCTTATCAAAGCCTGTTGATTTAAATTCAAAAGAATCATCCAAGTCATTTTCCGAACAATTGTAATTAAGGAATAGAATTAAGATTTAAACATTGCCAGGATCAAATGAAAACTTATTGAGGGTAGTGTTTACATTATGTTAAAAACTACACTAATAACTTTGACTTCATACAGGTTGTTAATATGGGTCGCCTGGAATGCGGAGATGGGGCTAAAGAATATAGAACTTGTATTCAAGGATGGCAAAACATTATCACTTGGACCTGCAGATGTATTCTGTGATATTCCATACACGACAACACTTGACATTAAAAAAGAAGTCTCAAAGGTATATGTGTAACATGTTTACAATTTAGCATAGCAGTTTCATATTGATACCTCAGATGCAGAATGAGAGTTTAATGAGAGTTTTTCTCCAGTCAGCCACTACAAAAATGTATCCTACATGTATGCAGTGATCCCACGGGATTTTTTCTTAATGGGATGCTAAATCTTAATTTCATCTTTTTGGTGAAAATATCTCAATATTTCAGCATTTTTGCAGAGTGCAAGCAGATTTTCAACAGGATGACATATAATTAAGCGTATACTATACAATACAATGCAATACAATGCAATGCAATGCAATACAATACAGTATTTACAATACAAAAATATGATAACATATAACATATAATTAAGATTTTCAACATAGTGCAGCACTTGGGTGCTCAAATCCTGTGAGTATATTTGCTATGTCAGTCTTTATTACATAATCTTCACTATTTCAGGTTCGGATTCACGTGTATTCCCGGTTCACTAGCATTGATGCAGTACAGCTAGTATCGTTTGCCAACCATGCTATATGTAAACCATGCAAACCTGTCAAGTATAACATAGTTAGATCACCGCCTTTCCCAGATTCTGACAAAATCATCGTCAATGAGCCAAAGTTTGTTGATAAGTAAGTGACTATGACTTAAATAATCTTAAATCATACAACCTGTAATACAATACAATACAATGTTATGTAATGCAATGCAATAAAATACAATACAATGCAATGTGATACAATACAAACCAATGCAATATAATGTGATACAATACAAAATAAAACAATATTACACAATGCAATGCAATACAATACAATTTAGCCATACTATTGTTAGTTTTTCAAATCGTTCAAAACTTCTTGTTTTAAGAGATGTTTCCGATGAGAGCACATATACATACAAGATTCAAGCCATTACGGGAGCCATTGTAAGCCAGTTCTCCCCAGAACTTGTCTATACGGTTGGAAATGGGCACTGTGGAGATGGGATCATTGATAGGTGAATATAATATACGAGTACTTACGTACACGACCGAATATTCTATTTTATGTATAGTACCATCATAGCAGTTCGTGCTATTTTATGCCATTACTACTGGATCTTTTGGTCTTCAGCATGTACAGGTATTGCAATGTAAATTGTACAGTAGTTTGGAAAATTGGGGTTTGTTTTTACGTTGACTATTTTAGCTGTTGTGTTATTTAACTTTATGCCTTTCCTTTTTACACAAGTGCCTCAACATACAGGTCCGTAGCCTGACATACCGTATTTCGTATTTGATTCCGTTCAATCAGTGTGGCTCTATTACAGGCTTGTGGAGGAGTGTGACGACAACAACCTTGCAAGTGGAGATGGGTGTAGCTTCAAATGTAAACGTGAAAATGGATATCATTGTACAGGTTGACAAAATATTTTTGATATACATGCAATTTGAGCCCATGTTATGTTTGCCTCGATATTCAGATTTATTTTAATTTACAGTTTTTGATTAGATTTAGTGTGCCAGCCGTGACATAAATGATGGAAAAACATTTATTAAAACCATATTAAGTCAGAAACCACATGCTTATATAATTAAATGACACATTTTAAAGGTGAACCCAGTCAGTGTTACTACCACGATGGTGATGGTATGTGTGAAGACTTTGAAAGGATATCTAGTATTAAAGACTGTGGTGTCTACACCCCTGATGGCTTTGTTGATCAATGGTCATCGAACACAACTGGGGCAAGCTTGCATAAAGACCACCACTGTCTGTACTCAACATTATCAGGTCCACCTGACACAAGTCATGTGAGTATATTTTAGAAAGATTTTGTTAATGTACAAGACTGAAGATTAAATGGCCTCAGTGGTGTCATTCGTCTGATATTGTGACAATAATACATTTTTTGTTTTAATTTTCAGATATGCATGAGTTCTTTAGGTGATAATACTATAGATAATTCTGAGGATGAACATTGTTTAACAGTAAGTAAAGGATTTCATAGTTTTTACCAGAGTATCATGACCTATATTTCGTTTTCTGAGAAGCAAAAGTTATCTTGTTTGATGTAATATTTTGATTTTTCCGTATTTTGCCAGAGTACAGGAGTGCCATTTCAAAATCTACAAAGCATATTTCATATTTAAGTCATCTCAATTACCCAAATGCGAGTAGGTAGTTACCAGTTTCACCACCAGGTGGCTGATTCGGGTCAATTAACATGGCAGGTATATAAGAAAGTTCCCTTAAACTTGAATGTTATCAATTTAAGTGGCTCAATTTTAATATAACCTTTATGTGTCTGATACTTATACTAATGAAAATATGTCCAGTAAAGCAAAATATTATCTGTCCACTAAAAGAAAAGATATTTCATTTTTTGTGAATTTATAGCATGGGGTCTATGGGGAATCTCCCCGAGCTAGAAGTCACATTTTCAAAGAAAATTAGTTTTTCAAAGTTGATAAACACTTTTTAAAACCACATTTCTAGAAGTAATTTTACATGTAGATTTCAAATATGATATTACTTTGACTGAATTCTGAATTTTTAATGACGTAAATCAAGATTATTTCTACTCGCATCTGGGTTATTCTACTGAATAGTTATTTCAACTGCCATTTATAAATACGATTTTCAATAGCAATAAATATAAATAAGGTTATTTCCGACAATGGGCTTTCAATAGAATGCCCATGTTCCGACCAAATTGTTTGTTTCAGTTCCCATTTAGTATGCCAATGGTATCAAGTAGTATCGTGCTCCACATCGCAGCTGATGGTGTTGAGGAGTATGATGAATCAAAAGCGTTGAAGTCCATCTCAGTGACCTTAATTGACACTGAAGGAAATACACATGATATTGGTGGTGAATCTGTTGCAGTTAGGTGTAAAGATAGCCCGATTGAAATCGGATGCCAACATGATTTGAGCAAACCATTCTTTCTCACACAAGGTATGGGTACTTTACCATCATCAATACAGAAGATAATGACACTAATGTTGTATCAAAAATACCAATAGTTTATTGTTTTACCATAAATCACATCTAGAAACGCATTTGGTTAAGGCCAGAATTTTTGGAAGAAATTATGAAATAAATATATTAAATTGCAAAGAATTGACCCTCTCACATTTTAGCTGCAAAGGTGCGATATCAGTCAGGGATAGAAATATCTGGAGTAGCGTTAAGATCTCGAAAATCGTTGTTAATGGATGAAGATTGCCAGAAGAGCGACTTGTTCAACCCAAGGACGGGACACTGTTCATCATACAGGTGTAAAGAAGCAGTTTGTGATAAGTTTAATGTGAAGCATGGTGTAGCAAAGTGTACTGGGCATAAAGATGAGGACACCTGTAAAATTGAATGCAACGCAGGGTAAGATGGACTCGACTTCCTTTAAAGATCCTTTAAAGTGCCCGATAAACTATAAAATGCGCATGCGTCCAGGTGTTGATAAACTATAAATAGCGAAAATCCAGGGTTTGTCACCACAAGGTAAGCCAGGGCGTGTTGAGAAACAGCTAGTGTTGATATTGAATTTCCATGTAGCCAGATAAGTTTCCTTATTGAAATTACATATGGTTATTAGCAATACTTTGTAGGTGCTAAATAATAAAATATTTAGAGTATATATGAGAGAAATTGGCCATTTCGAAGCTGTTGAAAAGTTTGTGGCTCTCGGCTACACCGGGGAATTTACTTCCATGAGTACACACATAAATGTGGGGCTCCCCAAGAGGTACGCGACAAGGTGACCTGGCATCAAATGTGCGACTGAATGCTACTATCGAGAAGATAAAATAACGAATACGACAATAAGTTATTGCATGTGACAATTCCGAGCATTCATCTCACTGAAGTATTTTGAAGTGAAAATAAGATTTTTGTTTTGATACATGGATTCAGATGAACGTAACTTTATTCTGACAACTAATCAAAACTGAACAAAATTGATTGTACGTAACAGACAATTTATTGTTTTACAATGTTTTGATTGGCTAAACGAATGAAACCAACAAATTATGACATGTAAATGACAATTTTGAAATGTTAAATTTAAAAGTGACAAACACAACCTCCCTATCCACTCTTTGGGAGCCCTACTAATATGTACATGCAGCAGTGGTAGTGTACAGCTTATTATCACACTACTGGGCTTTGTATTCTAAAGCCTGTTGTTTGTAATAACACTGTTCACTCAACGTATGTTTTGTGTGTGGGCAGTCAACGATAATCATTGTTTCATCCCGGTTATATGACCTCGGCAATTATAACAAAACCGTACTAAACGAAAAAACGCAAATAAGAGAAAGCTTTCATACACATATAAAAAATGAACTAGTCTAATCTGCCAGTATAAACTCTGTGCTATACGTAGCCGGGTCAGGCGCACACTTTAAATATACAGGCCTAGTTTGGTGCTCAGCTATTTTCTTGATTCTTAACTTGAAAGTTTGTTTTACCAACGATGATACTACAGTATTAGGAACATTAAAAGAAATGGAAATGAGAACATAGTCTAGAGAAGATACAAAAGCCAAAATCAAAAGAAAAACACACACTGACGATCTTTATGATATTCCATTAGATGCACCATAGCAAACACATTAATAGCTGTCTCTCGGACAGTCGACATAGTTATTAACCATCAAAAGTAAAACTGGCATCACTACTTTCATTGATGTAGGTATCACTTAAATATTGAAAACCACAACTTGGTGTGTGTGAATGGCAAATGGAAAGGTCCCCATGTTGAATGCTCCCCAAGGTCGTGTGGGGATCCTCAGATAGACCACGCTACGTTCACGTGCGATGGAACACATCTTGGGAGTGTCTGCACGTTCAAATGTGCTGGAACGGCAAGATTAGTTGGTTTGTATTTCAAATAATATTTTGTTCTACTTCTAATGCAAACTTCTGTTGCGTTAAAACATGGTATGTGTCTATCATAATGTGAATATACAGGGTGTCTCAAAAAAATGTACCCAAAAGTATATCAAGAGCACAGATAAACCAATCAATATTTTCAGAAATTTTTTGCATGGTCATGTAGCCAAAACATGAAAGTTTTCTCCCCAATACACCATTTGTATTTCAGTCTTGTCTTTTTGATGCTTTAACCCTTTACCTTTTACACCACATAATCGACGTAACCTCATATTTCGATGACAGCCCGTATCCTTACTGCTACATTGTTCATCACATTTAATAATAATTCGGTGGAATGTTTTGGATTTCTCTTTGGATGTTGCCCTTAAGTTGTTCTAGGTCTTTTTGCTTGGAATAAGCATTAAAACACTCCTTCAAATAGCCACAGAGAAAGATGTTTGAGGATGACGATGGCAGAACAAACACAGATAATCAGGTCAATTATCGGCAAATGATTCAGGAGAAACCTTCCAGAGTTAGGCAGGCAAGCCTAGAGACCAAATGATATCAAAATGAAAACACAGTGGTCTCAAATTGATACACACAACAAAAGCTACACTAGAATCTCATTTAATGCAGTTTCTTGAACCTCTGACCTCTCTGTATAGGGGAGCTCTAAGACATTGTGAGGGCCTCCCTATTCACCATATTTGACGGCCCATACTTTTTTCTCTGAGGCTATTTGAAGGACCATTTTTATGCTAAACCCAAGCTAAGAGACCTAGAACAACTTAAGACCAGCATCCGAACAGAAATCAAAACATTTCACCAGAAATATCAAATGTGATGAACAATATAGTAGTAAGGATGCAGACTGTCATCGAAATATGAGGTTACATTGAATATGTGGTGTAAAAGGTAACGGGCTATAGAATGAAAAAGGCAAGACTGAATTAAAAACTGTGTATAGGGGAAAAAACTTTCATCTTTTATCTTCAAGACCATGCAAAAAATGTCTGAAAATATTGATTGGTTTGTCTATGATGTTGATTTACTTTTGGGTACATTTTTTTGAGACACCCTATATTAATGTAAACGAACAGTACTGAACTTGAAGTTTTCTTGGTTGGTGTAGGCTATCATTGACTATGGAATGGATCGGAAAAAGTATGGATTGTAGCACTCTTGCTTATAACCACTGTTTATGGGTTTCCTTCTCAGGTACAAACAGAAGAATCCGTTGTGAAGCAGATGGACTTTGGTCTCAAGCGGAGGCATACTGCCAGGTGAGGTGCAACGTCCCAAAAAAGGTGAAAAACGCAGCCCTTATATCAAAATCATGCAAACATGGACTTCATGACGTGGATACGATATGCAAATTCAAATGCAACAAGGGCTATCATGTACAAGGACTGCCATTCAACAAGTAAGCTCTAGTCTAGTATACTTATCCACCAAAATCCTTTAATATGTTGTCGCCAATAACATTTTAATCTGGAAGTCATTGTAATGATAAGATAGGCCTACATTGCAAAATATTTTTCATCTGACATTTCAGGAGAATTGCAAAGCAGAAATGTGTGGAAAGTGGGAAATGGGATGGTCCAATGTGTGTCAAGGTCACATGTCCACCGATAGATGACGTTTACATGGGTCTTTATAACTGCACCAATGGCTTCAACTTCGGAAGCACATGTACATTGAAATGTCCAGAAATACCAAAGGTACCTCATTATTTATTTTATGGAGCCATTTGTTCTCCATGGTTTACATGTATATCGTTCCAAATGCACCATGGACTAACTTATGGTTCATATTTTTTCGTGCCAAAGGTACAATATGGTTCAAGGCTTGTGTCATATTGTGCCAAATGGATCATATGGTTTATGATTATATTTCAGACTATTTCGAAAACAACATGTTCTGTGGTAGGAAGATGGAACAAGAGGATTAAAGCGTGTACATTTGGTAATGGTAGATGCTCTGCGCTCGAGAACAGTGTGCGTGGTATGAAATTCATATGTGGGGATAATCACATTGGTGAGTTTTGATACTTACATTTTGTGTAGTCTCATTTTTGGTATTTTTGACTGTTAAATACCTTGTCTAAATTATTTAACATAAGCATACAGTATCTGTATATATGATAAATTGCTATGTTGATGTACAAGCATACATAAAATGGCATTTGGATAATTTTGAAAGTTTTTTCAATGCAGTTGATGTGTCTTCTTTTAGGTAACATTTCATTTTTTATATTAAGGATCTAAATGCCAACCCGTTTGTGTCAATCCTCAATTGCAACCAATGCTGGATAATGAGAATAGAGCTACGTGGGAGAAACTGACTTCAATGAAATCTAATAGTATAACTTCCATCACGTGTACGGGACTGCTGAAATGGTATCCTCGCGTTAGTTCTATCAGATGTGAAGAAGGATGCACAGAGGTAGACTTCATTCAATAATTATTTCATCTGAGCAGTTGATATGGCCAATGTCCATATATTCTTATTTATATTTTGCTTTTTGTTGTTTTATTCAAATAAAATGTAGAATGAAACACCATGGATGAATAGTCCCGATTTATCCGATGTAGTACCCCTACTACTACCCCTTGGTTAATACATCTACATTTGTTCCCTTTATACGGACCTTTACTTTATTTACATAGTGTTAGCAATTGCATCCCTGTAACATTTGGTCTTTGGTATTTTTGAACTTAACCAAAGGCAAAGTGAAAAATGTAAGCACAACAAAATGTGAAAATTTAATAGTGTGAAGTGTCCACCATTTTACCATTTTTGTTTCGTTACTTTGCAGGCCACTATGGGGGATGGATGGTGTGATGCTGAAAACAACAAAGCACGATGCGACTTTGACGGAGGAGACTGTTGTGAAAGTACCGTTGCTGGTCACGTGGTCAAACCTTTCCTTGACGATTGTTTGGACGCATGCAATTGCAAAGACCCGGATGCAAATAAAAATTCTCAACGAATAATGAACGATTCTATAAAACAAAAGAAACTAACTAAAGAAAATGAAGAAATTCTTGAATACTGGTTTAAATTATTAGATCTATAAAGGTTGCCTTATGCTGGGTGGTGTTAGGGATATTCCTTGCAAGTCCATTTCTCTCTTGATATGATAGCTATAACCATTTATATCATATCCATATTTAGCAACATGAGAAATTCTTTAGTACAGTCAAATCTGATAATCTTAAAATGAAATGCTTATTTCAGCAGATAGTATCCTATTTTGGGCAAGATTATTAAAGTTTATAGTCGATGACACCACTTCATGTGTAAAATCGTACAAGATGGCAACCTGCTTGAAATGAGTGCTGCATTTTAAATGCATTTCAAAACATTTTCCCATAAGGTAAGTATGCATACTATAGCTACTATATCAACAGAGAAATGAGCGACAGATATATTTTCGTTTAATAAACGTTATAAATAAGTATATGTAGTTGTAATATATGAAAAAGTAGAAGTTTGCACACACAATGCAATCGCGTTTGATCTCAAATATTGTAGCAGCACAATCATCATTAGACTATGTCCTAATATCAGTGTATTTTTATATTGTTAATATCAATGACTAAAATAATTGTACAACTAAAAATGTTTTAGGCCTATATACCGGAGTACATTTTTAATTGAGTTTATTTTCAAATACACTGTTGCCATTTAATTGACCAATTATCCACAATTATAACAACAGTGCATTTGGTAATAAAGATAAACAAAACGATTGTATATAGTTTTAAGATTAATGCATCAATTTATGCGTTGGTGTGTTATTGTGTCTTGTTCTTTTAATAAACAGATTTATTTTTAATAAACAGCTTTATTTTCTTAAATTCAATCTCGGATATCGGCTATTACTTTCCTTTCAAAGCCTCGCATTTCGTTTCCCCCTTGAATCTTCTCTTTGGTTGGCACGTCCCTGTAAATGAATAGCATGCAATTTCATATTTATCTAATAAGTAGCATTTAGAAATGGTAGAAATTCGATGGTTTAAAAGGACTCAATGTTCTTACCATTCCCATTTCTGGTTTCATACCATAACTTACCCATTGGTCCAAGTGGTATGTCCGTCATACCATTAGGCGTACATTTCAAGCCCCTCACACATGGGCATTCCCCTATAAACACCCTACCACTAGGAGGATATCTCTTGTTTCCGTTTCTCATTAGGCAACCTGAATTTGAATTGTTGCCTCGTAAATGAAAGTAAATAAAAGCGATCCCATTTCAGTTCAAATCCGAATCGAAATAGATGTCAAATATCAATTCAAACTTATAATTTTAACTTATATCATCATAAAGTTTATTGAATATCCAATATTGCTCATCTTCGTTTACTCGAATAAAGCGTGCGAAGATGGTGTTTTGGGAATTGCCAATGGTTATATCCTGTCATTGGCGCCGTACGAAATCAGAACTACATACCTTCATCACATATTCCACGTTTCTCGCAGAATGCCTGAGGCTGCCTTTCTTCAATGCCTCTCTTGCCTATGGGCCGATGAATAGATAAGCAACACTCGTCCGTTTTGCACTGTTTCTGACTGGTACATGGTGTTTTTTCTTCGACGGTTGGTTGGCATTCACCTGTTCAAGAGTTCACCATAATAATAAAGTAACATATGTCTAACCCTATTATAGGTGGAAGAGTGAAAACTACTAAATATGCAGACACATTCGCCAATGGAAAATCCTTCACCGTTTTAACGTTAATATAATGACTTCTCTTCAATAGTTTGTAGTGTTTTATGAGACACAGTTAACACTTCTTGTTACGTACCATGTTCTCCTAATGGAATTGCAACCATTCCATTCCCGTGACAAGTAAAGCCATTCGAACACGGACAAAACTTTTCAAACGTTAGTAAGTCTGCATCATTGTGCTCAACGATACATTCTATAAAGACATGCAAATGAATTTTTAATTAAATTTAATTGGTATTCCCGCTTGTGAGCTGTAAATCGTAGTTTCAGAACAACCACAAGTTGACCGATCCTCTATTTACTCGTTCCTAAAAATACTAGAAGATCCAGAAAATTGAATGACTCACGTGCACCATTTACCCCATTGTCCTGACATACACAAGGCTCAATCTGCCTCTTGCCTTTGCGCATGAGTGGACATCTGCAGCACTGGGTGTTCAGACAATCTCCATTGTCTTTACACACCTTTTGAACAGGCCTGCATTGACCTACAAGAATATTTCCACTTTGTCTTATCATAACATCACTCTCTTGCCCGAAATATGGCACAACATTTATCGTAATTTTTCTCACTCAATTATTTTCAAAATATGAACGTTTTCCATCTAAAACAAAACTTATTATATAAGTTTCCTTTTCAGTGTCTGAATGTATGGGATTTTCTTTGATAAACATATATTGTTGAATACTGTATAAGTTGTATTAATCCGAGTGGTTAATTTGCCGAATGGTCAAATTTCATCAATTTCCTACACTCCCCTCCATAAGTTTGGCAACCTTTTTTCCACATTGTTATTTAATTAACCGGCGATGAAATAACTTATAATATTGATGGAAACGTAAAATATTTCTGTGTAGAAAATTGAATTGTCTAACTTTTTTGAACGCTAAGTGTTTAGTTTATTTGATGAATATTAAAGTTACAGTGCTTCAAAGTCATTTTTGAAAATAATTTTTCGCCTCCTGTGTTATTTCAATGGGAGAGGTTTTTTGAAAAACAATTTTGACTTTAAAGCCCTATAACTTTGTTGAACCTGAAGAAACATATCAATTTTTTGTTAAATAAAGTTAGCAGATTCAATTGCCTGCCTAACTCATATTTTTTGCAAGGACTCTGATTGATGGATATTCTGTCATATGACTTACGGCAAACCTACCATTTCCCATTGGTTAACATGGGAATGTCGATTTTCAAAAATTCATCAAATTTATCATCAATTTTCGACCTGTTGTAATTGAGGAAAAAAAATATAGAAAATTTGGAGGTATTGAAATTAAAGTCAAATTACGTTCCCATCAATAGTATAAGTATTTTCATCGCAGGTTAAGTAAATAAAAATTCAAAGGTAAAGAGGCTTTAACACATAGTTCAATGGGGGAAAAAAGGTTGCCAAACTTATGGAGGGGAGTGTAATTTCAATTTTCCTAATCACAAGAAACTTCCCATTGGATAACATTGTGAAGACAGTATTTCCGACATTTAATTTTCCGAACCTGGCAAAAATTAGGCGATAGGCAAATTAAATGATTGGGCAAAAGTACCACTTAACAGTATTCTCTATGTTCATTATAATCATGGCGGTAGAGCCCATGTTATAATGAACTTATAAGAGGAACCATGGCCCTTGTGTCAATGAACAATTTTTACAGTGAAATGAGTTTCTAATAAGAACACTATGCAAATTTCATACCATGTTCTCCTAAAGGAACTTCAACCATTCCATTCCCGTGACAAGTAAAGCCATTCGAACACGGACAGAATTTTTCAAACGTCAGTAAGTCTGCATCATTGTGCTCAACGATACATTCTACAAAGACATGAAAATGGATTTTTAATCAAAAATTGGTATACCCGCTTGTGAGCTGTAAATCGTAGTTTCAGAACAGCCACAAGTTGACCGATCAGCTTTAATTTACCCGTGCCTCAAAACTGTTATTCGATTTAACAAAGTGAATAACTCACATGCACCATTTACCCCATTGTCCTGACATACACACGGCTCAATCTGCCTCTTGCCTTTGCGCATGAGTGGACATCTGCAGCACTGGGTGTTAAGACAATCTCCATTATCTTTACACACCTTTTGAATTTGTGTACATTGACCTACATTGACCGCGATGTAGAAAACTAAGATAGCACTGAAATATTTAGTCATCACCATTCCTGCTCGGTATGTTAATATCCAAAGTGATTTGCGATTGATTTATAAAGCTCAAGGCTGATCAAATATCTGAACAAATAGACAATGGGTCCTATTAATAAACGAAACGTCCATTTTACAAATGTCATGATGATATTGTATTATTATTATTTATTTTAATAATATTTTATTCTGAAATGTTATTTTATGTGCAATTAATAAGTGCATGTCATATCGTGTGGTTGGGATATAGAGAAATGCTTACTCTTTAATACAATTAACGTCCTGTTTATGGCTTTCATTTAATTCAGTGTTTGATTGTATTTCAAAGTATTCCATAAAACGCATTTCATTTCAAATTTACATGTTTATTGTTACATCCATAATGGTATGAAAATAAAATTGTAAGTTCAATATCGTGATAAGTAACCGTTTTCTATATACATCTCATGTTTGTATTGCTGTAAATGTACTGTGTATCAATGAAAGGATGAACGATTTTTGTAGACATCGCATTCGGTGATGCATTTAGTAATGCATATTTTGAACGTATTCTTTGCAAATTGATCAAAAATTTAAAGCCAATTGAAAACCACCTAATATGTTCTACTTAAGCCATTATATTGTATTTTTAATTTGCGGTTACGCCAAAAAATGATTGACGGTTACGCGAACCTCGTTCAAATTTGTATCCCAGATTCATTGTTATTAATTTTGTCATATTCATCAGTACTTGATGCTAATTCTTCTCTTGCCTCTTCATTGCTATCTTTTTGACTTAAATTGGTTTCATTAATAAAGCAAGACACAATTTTTTCTTTGCCCTATAGAGGCTCAAACAAGAGCGTCTCTTGCGATTCCTGAAAACAAATATAAGCAATTCAATATTTCATTTCTTACCCATTATAACAATTACATGGAAAGAGGCTATCCGAACTAGCAACCTTAATTTGAAAGATGTACATGCACGTAACCGTCCGCTAAATATCTAATGTACATCTAATACAATACTTTACCGTCCATAGAATTCATACGTAGTCGTCTAACGACATTGCGTTTGAAACCTTATTGTTTACAATATGACCACGTTCCTGTTCTGGATTTGTCATTTTATGGCTTGTTTATACACAGTTTACTTAATGTTAATAGTTTGAGTGGCTCTTGGGCACATATACTGAGAAATCACGAGAATGAACTAAAAAATATGAACTTGGACATCTCAGTCGGTAAGTTTACAGCTTATATTCCGCTTCTAGTAAACCACCTGGCAGATTTGACCCAGTCTTTATAACCATCCATATATACGTCACCGAATGGAACTAGTTAAAAAGGAAATCTTATCTGTGAATCTTGCCTACAGGCGAGAAAGAGGACATGCTGTCTTTCGCATCCGCCATTTTTTGTTATCGTTACCGCAAAATTTTGCAAATCGCCTTGACGTAACCGTCATGCTATAACACCGTGATTACTAAGTATTTTGCTTTCCGCTGCTTCAGAACAAAGCTTAGTTAAAAATAGTTCTAGGTTTTAATTATTGATTTTCATTCAGTTAAATTAAAAGAGAAAGCTTATTAAAACCTGACTAGTTAAATTACGATGAAGGAGTTTATATTTTAGGAGTTATTCATATAAAAATACATTTACATGTATTTCAAAATCAGTCTATGTCAGTTTATGTCTTTGTATTATGTTTAGATAAATCATGGACGTCCCTTTGTATTATCCTCTCAACTTTTTGCACTTCCGTTCTCTAAATTTTCTTCTCTTTGGTTCACATGTTCCTGAAATTTTAAAATCTTATTGATTAAAATTGAATACGATTGTTTGAATTAGAATTTAACTTATTTATCTATTCAAAAGCATCCACAGACTATGCTCTTTCATGACATAACTTACCCATTGGTCCAAGTGGTATGTCCGTCATACCATTAGGCGTACATTTCAAGCCTTTCGCACATGGGCATTCCCCTACAAACACCTTACCACTTTCAGGTCGTTTTCTGTTTCCGTTGTTCATCAGACAACCTGGATATGAATTGATTTTGTCCGAGTTGTTTTGAAAATGAAGAATTTATTGACAATACGGTTCGACCACAGAGTATGATTCAATATATATTAATTCTGTGGTCCTGTTTATAAAAACATTTTAGTTAGTCAATGTCTGTTGCTTTATTTTCGGTTGTCCATTATGCTTTCTCGTGATTGACTACGTGAAACCAAAATAAGCATACATACCCTCGTTACATATTCCACGTTTCTCACAATAAGCCTGGGGCTGTTCTTCAAGGCCTCTTTTGCCTATAGGTCGATGAATAGATAAGCAACACTCGTCCTTCTTGCACTGTTTCCGACTGGTACAAGGGGTTCTTGTCTCCACGGGTGGTAGAATTGGTCTCCCTCTGGCAAGATCCCCCGCGGCCATGCATTTACCTTTAGCAAAGTGAGACCTAGTGATTTTTGTAGGCCTGATGACTACAAAATAACTATTATTGCAACACATGTGCAATAGCGTGCGATGTTGTGAATGGTTTGCCGGATAAAAGGGAGCTTGCTTGAAATCTACTCGTAATATCATGGTCGAGAGGGACTGAATTTAAATTTTCGGGGATGGTTCTTCGTGAATCATGATATTTTCTAACTTTGGCCTCAGTCTATAGGCATATTGTTATCATTCTCAGGGATGGGATATTATCCACCCTGTCTCTTGTTTGTTCATTGCAGTTATGGAGGAAATTGCTGTCTTACCATATTCCCCTAATGGTATCTCATGCTTGTTATTTCCCAAGCACAACAGTCTTGGTCCACATGGACAGAACATTTCGTAAGTCTCATGAGTTGTTTGCATATGTTCAACGATACAAGCTGAAAGGAAACAAACATGACAGCAGAAATTCAATTGTCTCATAAACTTTGCCCTCAAGTCGACAGGGGTCTGTATTCCTCGGATATTAGGGACCGTTTATCTATCCGGTAGGCATTTTTCAACTGATTGTCGGGATATGAAGTGTGTTCTGCCTCTTCCGGCCTTTTTTATGAAGGGGGTATTAGACATTGTTTCTTTTCATGCTAGTTCATTGTTTTTGGATATATGGGGTTTGTTTTTCTAATGACTGGTATACACATAGAGTTTGCTTTTTCTTGCTAGGTTCCATTGCAACTTTTGGTCCTCTTCATTTGGTTCCTGTTCTTAGATATTATGCTTACTGCCATGTCTTTTGCCGACGTCTGCACACACACACTTTTGTTGGATCTGCATCTTGCCCTTGCGCATAAGTGGGCATTTGCAGCACTGTCCTTCTCCACAGTCATAAGAATCCTCGCATTCTTTTTCAACAGGTGTTCCCTCAACCGCCATACATTCACCTGTTATATGATTTTTGATATGATGGTCAGAAGCATTTGGTTATTATGTGATGATTATAACGTATATTGAAATGCTCCCTTACGAATATTATACATTCAAAAGTACAGTGACCTTATTACTCTTTTAAGAATATAATATTTCTTACCATGTTCTCCTAAAGGAATTTCTTTTATTCCATTCCCGTGACAAGTAAAGCCATTCGAACACGGACAAAATTTTTCAAACGTCAGTAAGACTGCAGCATTATGCTCAACGATACATTCTACAGTCATGTAAATGGATTTATGTAATGGATTCTTTCGTATTAGGGTATTAGGTGGAATAACGGCCAAAAGCCGAAGGGCAGAGGCCATTATTTTTCCTAAGACGAATGGTTCATCTAACTTAAACCCCTTACTGACTTCCATGAAAGGTAAATGATCCATGATACAAACTAGGTTACACTTCACAATTCAACTGGAAGATTTGATTTCTATAATTGAGTGAGTTGATAAGTAAGTGAGTGGGGTGTAATAAGTTCAGCTTCATTGCACTGCATGTAATACTGCTCAATACTGCGGGTAACGAGTACTAACGACACAAAATAATAAACTGTTTTATTGTAAAGAATACACAAAAGAAGAGTACATGTACATTTACATATTGTTTTTAAATGATGGAAACTATCAAAAACTGACAGCTTGCCAATTGACCATTACAAACAATAAAAACGAATGTAATCTTCTTTTACTACAGCTGTACATTCTTAAACTAAACTACTGCTCATCCATTTGTATGGCTACCTAATTGAGGTTTTAAACTAGGTATTTTCACTCGTGTGCAGTTGACCGATCATCAACCTATACCCGTACCTCAAAACTGAACTTTAATTCAACTAATCAAATAACTCACTGTCGCCATCTACCCCATGGTCCTGACATACACAAGGCTCAATCTGCCTCTTGCCTTTGCGCATGAGCGGACATCTGCAGCACTGGGTGTTCAAACAATCTCCATTATTTCTACACACCTTTTGAATTGGCTTGCATTTACCTAATGTAAAAAGAGCAAAATCCTGCGAGCACCGCCGGACACTAACCGCCGAGCACCGTTCACAAAAAAGATGGAATGGAGACCGTTACCATGTGTGACCACTTGTGGTGGTAACATAAAAAGTAGTCATGACCTAATTAATTAACGTTCCATATAAAAAATAAATCATACCATGCTCTCCCAGAGGAACTTCTTTCATTCCATTCCCGTGACAAGTAAACCCATTCGAACACGGACAAAATCTTTCAAACGTCATTAAGTCTACATTATTGTGCTCAACGATACATTCTACAAAGTCATGAAAATAAATTCAATTTATAGCTAGATATTCTCGCTCAAGTGCAGTATATTGTGGTTTCCGAGCAGCCACGAGATGACCGATCCTCCACTTATACCCATACCTCAAAACTGAAATTTGATTTAACAAATTGAATAACTCACGTGCACCATTTACCCCATTGTCCTGACATACACACGGCTCAATCTGCCTCTTGCCTTTGCGCATGAGCGGACATCTGCAGCATTGGGTGTTCAGACAATCTCCATTATTTCTACACACCTTTTGAATTGGCTTGCATGTACCTAATGTAAAAGGAGTTTAAGATAAATTAAATAGGTTGATGTCGACTTCCTTTGAGCAAAATGCTGTGATTAATAATCTAATGGTATCCTTCGTTCGTTCATTTTCTATTATCTTTATGGTTACCTATTTCACCAAATGGGGACTTTAGACCAGCGCCTTCACAGAAGAATCCCTTTTCACATGGACATTCGCGGATGACGCCAGCTTTTTCCTTTTGGTCCACAAAACAACCTATAATATTTATTTTTTTAAATGTAGATGCCATGTACAGATGTAAGGGTAGATAAAAAATTACAAATGTAATTAGCTTTACTCAATTGATAATAATTTATATGGAAAAGGCATATAACAGTATGTAAATACGCACAGAAGTCCAAATTGTAATTATGTTATGAAGGCTAATTCAATTTTAAATTGACGCATATTCAAATATGGGTAAACTCATTTTTATTTTGATGAAGCGTAATCTTAACGAATTGAAAAACGAATGAATGTGCGGCAATAATGCTGGATACATCAAGGTGGTTTGACTTTAGGATACAGCCCGACCCAATCCAGAACCGAAATATAGCTAAATTGGATGAAATCCAGAGTGTAATGACTTTACCTCTCTATAACATCCCATTTGTTGGAGAAGACAAAAAAAACAATCAGATTCCTTGTTTTCTAACACCTCATTAAATTAAAAAATTAATTAATTAATTAATCTATTCGTAATACAGCTATGTACATCATGATCTAAATTGATGATCTTACTATCATTTAAAGTCCCAATTTTGCGGCATATTCCCGAATTTATAAAAATGGGCAGTGGAGCCTTCGGCATGCCTCTTTTCGTGACTTGATTTGAGTCCGGTACACAGCATTCATCACTTCCACAATCAGCCTCTGAATTGCATGTTTTTGTAACATCAACTCTCCTTCCCGCATAACTACATGCCATCTAGAATTAGAACAATAGAGGTTTCCTTCCATCTTTGGTACACTTAAGGATATGTTGGCCATATTGATGATGTTATAGGTTTTGGGAAGCACTGTTTCCAAAAATATGGTTAAGTACTTGCTGCTAGTTTTCGTAGAATTTTGATTGTAAACATTGATACATACAAGTTACGATATCATAAATCTAACCAATATGATCATTCTAGTTTATTGAATAATATTTTTTCACTTTTTATTCAAGTAAGCCTGTAAACATCACTTACCATAAAGTAGAAGACGATAATAACGTTTAATGCCTTCTTTATCTCCATTCCTGTTTTAGCTTGTTGATATCCAGCGTTATTTCCAACTTTTCTATAGTTTTTATCTTATAATATTAGAACAACGAATTCTATTTAAACTGTAATTTCAGCTGGATAACATAACAAAATACATCCGTCAACGTCAAAATAGTAATTGTTGTGTCCATGCATATGTCAAACAGTTCATTTTATCAATGACTTGTTTATAAAAATTATTGCAAAGTACCACGCGATAAATGAAAAGTTAAAATATACAGCAAGAATGGAGTCATACAATTGAACTGATGTCACTGCCACCCTAGTTTTGCTTTTGTATCTGGATTTATGATGTGTTGTTCTCATTAAAACAGTTGATGAATGAGGAACAGGCAGACGATTTGAATAGTTTAAAGAATCCGCAGTTTACAATATATGGTTTTGAATCGTAAATCCGGTAAACAGTTATATTATACATATCAGGATACATCATTGTAAACAAAAGAGGAAAATAATTTAAACCCATTGAACTGTTTAGTGTCTCTTTTGTATACTAAACTATTTATTACTATATCAAACAAATGTGTTTTAAGTACTTTTAAAGTTGAATTCACTACCACAATTCAAAACAATTAATAAACGTTCAAGATCCAAAGTTGAGTGCTAAAGTTGAAATTGACCATGAGTCTCTGTAGATTGCTCAGGATAAAAAATAAATATAATATTTTTCAGAAAACATTGCTAATATTAAGAATTGTAAGTTTTGCCTTGAAGTAGGAACACATTAGCTCTTTGGAGAGACTCTATTACAGAATGATGATGTACAGGGTGGTCCAAGAAAAAGTGAACCCCTTCAACAGGCTATATTTTCCTTAATACATGCATGAATTGGCTCATATTGTCACATTTTGTAGAGAAAGGTCTAAAATTTTTGTTGATGCCACAATTTATTCTCAGTCTTGAATTTTGAAGAAATTACAAGACTTAAACAAACATACAAGTGACAAATGGGACACTATTTGGACAGAAAATACATTTCACACTTTCATTGACCATTTTGAAGCAGTTTTAACCATACAACAGTAAAGGGGCATGTTACTTACACAAACGGTTAAAGGGGGGCAAAGTTACCCCTGTGACCCAAAATCTGAGAAGCCCTTCATATAGATATCTTACAAAAATCAAAAGGAAATCTTATATTCAGTGTTTTGAGCCACAATGCATTAGAATTGGTCCATGATTAATGAAGATATTGACATTTTAAAGACATATTGTATGTTGCGATTTCACTGGAAGATGTGTTCGTCTTTAGAACTTAGACCATTTCTTTAGATCACAATAGCTTTGCAACTAACGGAGAGGCATGGTGCTAATTTTTACACCATAATGTGCGGGATTCAAAACCAAACAAAGTCAGAAAACATTAGGTTTTTCAGACTGCGGCTAAAATGATTTCCATGGAAAGATTGTTGAAGGGTTGAAGAATCGCAAATGTTGAAGTTCACATCTTATCGATTTTCAGTGATGTTACGTTAGGACTTATAATTTCTGCAAATTTCAAGACTTCGAAAAATGAATGGTACCAACAAAAATTTTAGACCTTCCTCTAAAACATGTGAAAACATGAAAGGATTCCTGCAGGTAATAAGGGAAATATAGCCTGTTGCAACGGTTCACTTTTTTGGACCACCCTGTATTATTAACAGACTACGAGCTCAAGTTGACACAACGCCATGCAACACTATAGTCATAAGAAGATCAGCAATGGCATCCGTAAATTTATTAGTAAGAACAATTCCTTTTGAAAAATAGAAATGATGATATTATACATTAGTATAATAGTGTAGGAGTGTAGTGATTCGTAGATACATCGATTATTAAATCGATCAATAAAACAAGCCACGATATTTCAAGGCATAATCCAATATACACCATTCTGTACCATTTTGTTTACAGGCAAGGCTCATCCGCATTGGAGTTTTACTCCAGAAACAAACATTTTAACTACAAACAAAAGCCAATACATTTTATATGTCTATTCCCTCGAAAAACATGTAATCTTTATTGCAAGCTGGCTGGTGAAATCGTATTTGTATTCTGAGGTAAGTTTTGTTTTCATTTTGTTATCATACTATTCTGTTCAGTGACCTTTCCGAAAGTAGAAACCGTCTGAAAATAATGTGACTGAAGAAGCTATTTCAGTATTTAATTATGTTTAGTTTCATATGCTGATCATGCCCATTGTGATCCTGGTCGTGTAAATGATATGTCACACCCGGTGATCGTGAATATGGGACGGAGGGGGGGGGGGGCAGGCAATTTCTGCTAGGAAATTCAACAAATCTGGAAGATTTATTTTTTCAAGAAAAAGTTTACTATTGAATTGCTAAATGGATAGGCGCACGGTATGGTAGAATATGTTAGGTTTTCTGGGATTTTTTCTGAAACGATACGCAACTAAGGTATGAGATCTATTAAAAAAGGCGCAAGGCCATCAACAGGCACAAATCAACGTTTTTGCTATAAATCAAGCAACAATGGTCTGGACGACCTGTAATAAATACTTGTAAGTGATTTTATCATAACTAAATTAATATCATTGCTGAATTTATAAAATAAGTTTCCATATGTGAAATAAAAAATAATCGAAAATAATGAATTTGGGACGGAGGGGGGGAGGGGACGGAGGGGGGGGAGCAATATGTATATAAGACATGATTAGAGATGTTTCGCGACTTTAAGTCCTTTTACTCCAAATGTCCCCATTTTTCAGTCTCCAGGGGTATATCATCCAGTTTCTTACTAAGTTAATGAGTTCATTTTTCAAATACAAGAATTCGTTTGAAGTTGTTTCACTTTATAGAATTATTACTCCCCCCCTCCGCCCCCCCCCCCTCCGTCCCATTTTAATTATTTTCGATTATTTTTTATTTTACGTATGGAAACTTATTTTATAAATTCAGCAATGACATTAATTTAGTTATGATAACATCACTTACAAGTATTTATTACAGGTCGTGTAGTCCATTGTTGCTTGATTTATAGCAAAAACGTTGATTTGTGCCTGTTGATGGCCTTGCGCCTTTTTTAATAGATCTCATACCTTAGATGCGTATCGTTTCAGAAAAAATCCCAGAAAACCTAACATATTCTACCATACCGTGCGCCTATTCATTTAGCAATTCAATAGTAAACTTTTTCTTGAAAAAATAAATCTTCCAGATTTGTTGAATTTCCTAGCAGAAATTGCCTGCTCCCCCCCCCCCCCTCCGTCCCATATTCACGATCACCGGGTGTGTATGTGGAACTAGTAAATTTGATAAGAACAGAACTCAGTTATCTTTCAAAAATCCAGCATGTCTTTCTGACTTCCTGTTTTGCCACTTCCTGTAAACTACCTTGAGACCTTATATCACTGCACGGGAGTTCGCATAAATTTCTGGGTGTTTAATTATTGATTTTAATTCAGCTTTTAACAGAAAACTTATCAAAATCTGCCTAGTAAATTATTATGGATGAGTTTCTATATTTTAGGATTTATTCAGATAAAAATACATTTACATGTATTTTAAACTCAGTTTATGTCTTTATATTATGTCTAAATAAATAATGGACGATCCTCCTTATTATCCTCTCAACTTTTTGCACTTCCGTTCTTTAAATTTTCTTCTCTTTGGTTCACATGTCCCTGAAATTTTAAAATTTATTTTATTTAATCTGATTGTTTGAATTCGAATCAAACTTACTTTATTCACTTAAAAGCATCCACAGACTATGCTCTTTCATACCATAACTTACCCATTGGTCCAAGTGGTATGTCCGTCATACCATTAGGCGTACATTTCAAGCCTTTCGCACATCGACATTTCCCTACAAACACCTTTCCACTCGGAGCTCGTTTTCTGTTCCCGTTGTTCATCAGACAACCTGGATATGAATTGATTTTGTAAACATATGACTTGTTTCGTAAATAAGAAATTCATTAATAATAAGGTTTGATCACAAATGTTAATAGTAATTAATCTCGTGGTCCTGTTTATCACAACTTTTCAGTTAGTCAATGTATGTCGTGTTATTTTGGGTTGTTGTCCATTACGCTTTCTCGTGATTGACGACGTGAAACCAGAATAAGTCTACATACCCTCATTACATATTCCACGTTTCTCACAATAAGCCTGGGGCTGTTCTTCAAGGCCTCTTTTGCCTGTAGGTTGAAGAATGGATAAGCAACACTCGTCTTTCTTGCACTGTTTTTGACTGGTACAAGGAGTTCTTTTCTCCACGGATGGCTGGCAATCATCTGTTCAAGAGTTTAGCAACTTGTTAAAGTGACATATCTAACCATGTACTTGGTGAAAAAGAGACGACTAAATATGTAGACTGTCACATTCGCCAATGGACGTATTAATGTTTTCAAACTGGGATTATGGGCACCAAATCGAATCCATAATATCATGGCATTCCAATGGCATTTCATGCCACTGGCGGATCCGGGCATGCCCCGCCCCCATGTATTTTTGTTTTTGGTGTCCAAAAAATGAAGGGTCTCAATTAGTGGGCCTTTTGGGCATTACTTTGCCCTTTTGGCCTCTTTTTGATTTTAGGCCAAATTATAAGAAATGGGCCTTTAATTTCTCAAAATGTGGGCCCAATTTTTAGTTTTAGGGGATTTTTCTGACTTAAAATGTGCCCCTCCCCCGCGCCTATGTTAGCTTTTGGATCCGCCAATGACAGGGCTTATCCATCCTCTGCAGAGGTATATATCGGGTGTCCCAAAAATGAGACACTTTTTGACACGTATTTTCTCGGTAACTGATCAGCCAAATTCACTGAAAATTTGTACAAAGTAGCCTAAGAGTATCATAAATAAGTTGTAAAAGTAAAAAAAAAGATCAAATAAATATTCTCTGAGTACTAAGAAATTCAAAATAGCATGTCAAAAATTTCCATACCGGAGCTCTGCAATGAAACCTCTATAGATACGACGTCGGATACTGTACATCACGGCGTAACATTGTAATTGTTGATTTTGCCGACAAAATGCGAAGATTTACGCGATAAATACGCGCAATGCTCCTCCAAGTTATTGGAATAGTTTTAATATTCGTGGAATCTTCTTAAAAATTTCAAGTTTTGTTCAGATTAATGTGCGCTACAATACAATTCTATAGTCAAAAAGGTTATGTCACGATATACAGAATAAGAATCACCAGAAAGTTGACATTTCAAACATTACCTGTTTTCTTCTTTGTCGCGCTTTCGGCCCTGCGCTCTCGTTGTCGCACCGTCTTTCTAGACTCTTTCACAGAGCCCCTTGTCATATTCAACTGATATACACAGACGGGGGTTGCGGTGATAAAGTGATGTCTATCTCAATATACTTGTTCAAATTAAATGAAATTGATTGTATGTAGTAAGGGGTATAATTAAAAGAACATGCTGAAACATTAGAACGTTTTGAATATCTATCACTCAATTAGAGATATTTGGACTCAAAAAATGAAACGTAATTTTGTGAATTTTTCACATGGCTTCACTTCATATTTCTTTCAATTTATACTTCTTACAGTTTTAATTTTAATCGAAATGATATATTTTTTTGACAAAAAATGTAGAATATGATATGCCTTTAAGGAATCAAAAAATAATAATTCACCTTTCAAACGATTCAATGTTTAATTGATCAAAAGATATATCTTATTCATACGAAATTCTGCTTGTCCACACTTTTTGGGCATAAATATAAGCGTTAAGTTACCATTGTTATATTATGACGTCATCACACAGAATCTGCTTTTCTTTTTCAAAATGGTGAATTTAAATATTGCAAAAATTTGAGAAAAATCCGTGTAGAAATAAAAAAGTTATCTTCATTTTTCGTTTAAAATTAAAAATCATTTTTCTTCAAAATGTTACAGTCCACACCCGGTTTTAGCATAGAAAGTCACATAATACGGCTTGCGCGATTCTCATTAAAAAAGTTCCAAATTATTTCAGGGACATATATGTTCAACTAATGACGAAAGATTGTCGAAAAATATGATTTTGCTGTCGAGATATCGCGGTTTTAAAGATAAGTACGCATGTAAAAATGCAGTAAAATGCCGTGATGTATACAGATATCTGACGTCGTATCTATAGTGTTTTTACCAGCTATCAGGTGAGAGCATCTGTCAATCAGCCAAAATAGCTTGTCTGTGTGTCCTGTCTAATTAATTTGTTTCATTGTTCCCAAATATCCAAAATCCATTCATTCTCAAAATTCATTGGAGGTGATATTTTAAGAATAGATACGGAAAAGTATTTTTGCTTTGAAATAGATTAAAAAGTGACTTCTACATTGATATTGTTTATTTTGACATACTGTCTTTAATTCAAAAATACACACATAATATGAGACCAATCTCTTACATATTCATAGCACTGGCAGAAAATACCCTAAAGTGCCCCAAGTAAAGTTTTCAAAGAATTTGGTTAATCTATTGCTCAGATATTACTTGTCAATTTGCTTCCAATTTTTCGGTACAAATGTTATGAAGTTCTCATTGCGTTGCTCCGGTATGGGATCTTTTGACATGCCATCTTGAATTTCTTAGTACTCACATAACATTTATCTGATCTTTTTCATATTTTTATATCTTGCTAAGGATACTCTTGGGCTACTTTGTATGATTTTTTAGTAAATTTTGTTTATTGGTTGCCGAGAGAATACTTGTCAAAAAGTGTTTCATTTTTTGGGGACACCTGATATATATTTGAGCATGTGAAGCATCATGATCTTACTATCCTTTGAAGCCCCTCGTTTGCGGCATGTTCCCATTGTTTTAGAAGTCCCATTAGTAGCCATCATTATGCCTCTTTTCGAAACTGGATTTAAGTCCAGTCCACAACATTCACCTTTTTCACAATCATCATCTGAACTGCACGGTTGTGGGACATCAAAACAAACTAATTATTAGGAATGAAGATGTCATGTACATTTGAAGAATTATATTAGGTTTACTCAAATGATGGAAATTAATATGTAAAATGCATAACAGTTTATCTAAATACGTTGAGCAAAAGCAAAAATTATCATTATGTTATGAATGCACGCTTATAGGCTAATTCAATTTCAAATTGACGCAAATTGTGTCCTACTATTGCGCCATTGTGTACATCATGATCTTACTGTGCTTTTCAGTCCCCCGTTTGCGGCATGTTCCCATTGTTTCAACCCCAGGAGCCATCATTATGCCTCTTTTCGAAACTGGATTTAAGTCCAGTCCACAACATTCACCTTTTTCACAATCATCATCTGAACTGCACGGTTGTGGGACATCAAAACAAACTAATTATTAGGAATGAAGATGTCATGAACATTTGAAGAATTATATTAGGTTTACTCAAATGATAGTAATTTATATTAAAAGGGCATAACAGAACGTAAATACCTTATGCAAAACTCCAAATTATCATTATGTTATAATGCACGCTTTAAGGCGAATTAAATTTCAAATTGACGCAAATTGTGTCCTACTATTGCGCCATTGTGTACATCATGATCTTACTGTGCTTTTCAGTCCCCCGTTTGCGGCATGTTCCCATTGTTTCAACCCCAGGAGCCATCATTATGCCTCTTTTCGAAACTAGATTTAAGTCCAGTCCACAACATTCACCTTTTTCACAATCATCATCTGAACTGCACGGTTGTGGGACATCAAAACAAACTAATTATTAGGAATGAAGATGTCATGTACATTTGAAGAATTATATTAGGTTTACTCAAATGATAGTAATTTATATTAAAAGGGCATAACAGAACGTAAATACCTTATGCAAAACTCCAAATTATCATTATGTTATTATGCACGCTTTTAGGCGAATTAAATTTCAAATTGACGCAAATTGTGTCCTACTATTGCGCCAAGGTCATTCATTTCACGTGTACGAACTTTAACACGATTATCAAATAGGTTCAAATTAAGTGCGGATAGTGTTCACTTTTGAAAAAAAATATTGACAAGTCGGATGTGAAAAATATCTTATTAAATATTCAAGGTAATACGTAGTTTTTACAACGGCTGTGTACATGATCTTACTATGATATTCAGTCCCCCGTTTGCCGCACATTCCCATTGGTTTAGAAGTAACCTCAGGAGCCATCATTATGCCTCTTTTCGAAACTGAGTCAAGTCCACAACATTCATCTCCGCCACAATCACCATCTGAACTGCATGGTACATAACCTTCCTCTCCCGCATAACAGCATGCCGTCTAGAATCAGAACAATAGAGGTTTCTTACCATCTTTGGTACACAAAAGGATATGTTAGCCTGGCCCGTAGCCAGGATTTGCCGGGGGGTCACTTTTTGCAAAATTCAATTGACAAAAATTCACTTGACAATTTATGTCCAAAAATGGCCAAAATCACTTAAAAAGTGTTCAGAATGGTGAAAAACTGCATGATTTTGAAAGATTTTTTTGTCGGGGGGGACCCCCCCCCCCCCCCTGGCTACGGGCCTGGTTAGCCATATCAATGATGTCATAGCTTGCGTGTAGCACAATCAAAGATGTTGTTAACTACTTATTGCTATTTTTAATATTTCTTAGAATTTTAATTGCAAAGTTGGAGTAACTGAAACCTTGTGAATTAAGATGATTCATATCCACAACCTATGACATCATAATTCTGATCAATTCATATTCTTCCTGGTTTAGTTTTAAATAATTTGTATTTTTTATTCAAGTAAGCCTAAGGAAACAATAAAAATTAACGTCACTTACCATAAAGTAGAAAACGATAACAACATTAAAAACTTTAACCATCCCCATTCCTGTTTAGCTTGATACCTAGTGTGTTTGCAGTTTTAATCGGATAATATCAAAACTAAGAATTATATTTAAACTATAATTTCAGTTGGATATTCATCAACGTCGAAACAGTATTCGTTATGTCAAAGCGTGTGTCAATTGACTTTTTAAAGTCCATTCAATATCGGATTTCCCACTCAGTTAAATGTCAAACGGTTCATTTTATCAATGGCCAGTTCATGAAAATTATTGCAAAGTACCATGCGATTGATGTAAGTTCAAGAGGTACATCAATAATGGGCTCATACAATTGAACTTGCCTTTGTTGTACTTTTGTATCTGGATCTATGATGTGTTATTCTCATTAAAATAAGTGAATGAGGCAGGCAGACAATTTGAATGAAGGTGAAACGCTAGTCCGGTAAACAGTTGATACTGGTCAATTAACATCTTTTGTAAACAACAGAAAAATAATTTTAACCAATTGAATTGTTTAATGTCCCTTTTCTATATTAAACCAAGGGCGTTACAATACCCGGGAATTTATCGGTTCGTCCAGTACTTGTTTGTGATAGCGCCCTCTGTAGGTCACTGTGCTTATAGCCTACAGTAATACGGGGTAGGATATCGGGAATTCGGTCAGTTTCTATCCGTCGATTTCGCTATGAATTGAAGCAAGTGTGACCACTTTATCCACTTAAACAATTTGATAATTGATTAAATATTTAAACAAAATCGATAAACACGTTATACACTTCCTATCTCCTTAGAAATTAGCATGTATTTATGGATTGTGTTTTCGAACAAGGCTCGACCCAAACCAATAGGGAAATCCTTATGCTAATTAGTATGACGTCATATTTTCCTGGGGAATCCTAGATTTCAAAGCCTCAGTCTGTTATTGTGTCAAATGTAAACGCTCTTGGGACGCTCTTTTGCAGACAGAAAATTGACAGATTAGCTTTTAACTTTCAGCTTTGATGTTTAAATATTCTGTATTTCTACCGGACTTCTTGCTGAATATCATATAATGTTATAACTTGATTTGGACCATTGCCTGATTGATCATTCTGAAATTTTGATTGTGATTCATGATTGATTGGCAAGAAAAATAATTCCTATTGTTTTCCAGCGAAGTCAAAATGTTACAGCATGAGTTATAATGTCGAGTTTGCATCATGTTAAATTCTGCTAGTGATTAGAAGTCCATGCACAAGCATACACATACTAAGACAAACACACCCAGGCTCAAGGCCGTAGTATAAAACTATTTAAGGCACAAACTGGTATTAATAGACCGATATGTAGTGTCTGCCATGTATTGAAGGTAAACCAATCTGCATTATTAATGTTTCTTCTATCAATACATGGATTGTGCAATGGAAAAGCAATGGCACAATCAAAAATGTGCATATCAATCGTGAATATCTCTCGGTTCAAAGCTTATTTCCAACAGAATCGTGTCAAAATATGTGTCTGAGTAACAGTTATACATTATAAGATCGCAAACTCTTACCAATTATCAGCCGAATGGCTCATTTTCAACGAAATGTCCTTAAGACAACAGCCCTGGGTCGCGCCTGAGGCCAAAAACTATTTCAAATAACCCTCCCCTAATTATATTGGATAATCACATTTATGCGTGCGCGCGCAGCTCATCCAATGAACGAAACGCCACTTCCCGCTGAAATCACCGGGTATTGATCTTTCCCTTGATTAAACTACATCAAAGAATGAATGTCGGAAATGTTCATATTGAAGTATTACAGGTTAATCTGAGACGGCACTCTGAATTTTCAAATTTCCCGCCACAGAAACTGAAGAAGTCCTATGTATGTAGGACGGATCATTTTACGTACGTTTTCGAGTGAAATCAAATTTTAAACAGCACCTGACCTGTTACATGCAGTGCACTGAAGCTGGACTTATTACAACCTCTCACTTCCCAATACACTTACATGATAGTCAATACTAAAGAAATCAAATTTTCTTAAATTGGATCAAGGGCCATTTAATTTCATAAGATTCAGTGTGGGGTTTAGCCTAAGTTAGATAAACCATTCTTACTCGGTCTTAGAACTGATAACCCTCCTAGAACCCAATACTCGTGGTTTATCCATTACTTAAAACTGAATTCATTACGTAATAGAACAATGCAAAACAATAAATTAACTTTCGAGATCCGAAGTTGATTGCCAAACATATTTGTCGCACTATTCATGCCACTGATGTAAAATTGGCAATGGGTCGCTATAGCTTGTTCAGAATAAAAATTAGATATAACATTTTTCACATAGCATTGTTTTAAAATATTAAGAATTGTCAGTCTTGCCAGCAGATACACATGCCATTTTAGATAGGCCCTATTTAAGATGAAGTATTATCTTTAGACAGACTACGTATCGGAAAAGACACAAAATATTCATTTCCCTACCGTCTTAAATTTTACATCTGTTTTTAGATTCAAATAAAAGTCGCAGTGACTACAGGCTCAAGTTGACACAACTCCATACGACACATAAATATATAAGCACCTAGTGCAAAAGGGAAAGGACCAAAAGTTGTAATGGAACTAAGCAAGAAAATGCAAACTCTAAGTGCATACCTGTCAAGAAAACAAACCCCATATAGGCCAAAACCATGATCTAACGTGAAAAGAAACACTGTCTAATACCCCCTTTCCCCTACCATTCAAGAACCAATATCACAATCCAAGTCCAGAAGACCAAGGGACATTTCATTCATACTGAAGTCATTACAATACATGTTGAAGAAAAAATTAGAAATTGATAGCCAATACTCATAACCTAAAATACGTTGTAGATACAAGTACTCATACAAGATAGAGCATTCAGTCTCAAATGATGTGGGATAGATAAAATCCAGTCTCCAAATCAAAAGGCGTTTCAAAGGGTCAACATCCAAGATCCCAGATAGCAATGTCCTCCGTAAAATCATAAAGAACAATTCCAATTGAAAAAGAACTGTCTCAATTAGAAATAAGGATCTTATATATTAGTATGATCACTGGTCAGTATGAATCGAAGGTAGCTGCCGTATCATACATTTCCAGTTACGTTCCCTTAAGCGGTGGAAGATATCGTTGAACTGGGAATCCCACGCATAAAATATGAACAAATTATCATACTCCAGTGTTCCCATGGCATATAAGCACAATTTGATTCAAATATCAAAGCATAACGTCAACTATGAAGTAGTTTATATTACTTCGATGAAAACTAAAAATATCGAAATTGACAATTATCGTCCGCCATCTTTAATGCTAAGGTTTCGGCCGTTCCCTTCGCTTGCTACGTGACCAGTAATAATAGTGTAATGATTCGTAGATACATCGAGACGATCATTGAATCGATCACTAAAACAAGCCAAGATAGTTCAAGGAAAAATCCAACATACACCATTTCGTACCATTTTGTATACAGGCAAGGCTCATGCACATTGAAGGTCTACACATAAAACAAGCGTTTGACAATAAACAAAGGATAATACAATTTATGTTTTTATTCATTTAAAAATATTTTTGACTGTTGTCTCAAGACAATGACACGTTAATGTGATATTCATTTCAAGCTGGCTGGCTGGCTGGATAGTAAAATCGTATTTGTATTTTAAGGTTAATTTTGTTTTCATTGTGTACACTTGATAATATTTGTCTATGAACATGCCACACCGCGATTTATTGAACAGATTCACTAAACTCATTTAGAAAAACAAACTTTCACCTAATCGCTTTCTGTTAAAATAAATCTCTTGATCAGGTCTTTATAACGTTTCTTTTGTTACTGTCATGCTTAGGGTACTATGTCAAATGATAGATTTACTAATATTTGTTAATACATCAAGGTGACAAACTGAGACAGGAATGTGGGAGGTTTTATTGTGTTTCGTATGGTTTTAGTATTTGTAGAGAATATAAGGGGATCTCATTGGATTTGGGGATTTCAACATCGAGTATGTCCTATTGCACGTATACACGAATGCAAACTGATGAAAGTTGATATTTTTCAATTTCACTTAAAACAATTTCTGAGATATTTTAAAGTTTAGAGGCCTATTGCATAATACATTGTACAATGTGTACTAATAATATAATATACACTATATAATCAAATATATATATATATGATACAGTAGTATTTACAGTGTATATTCCAGAAACGCACTAATCTAATAATGATCTGCAGTTTTTGTGTAGTTTTTGTGCAGTTTTTCAAGGTGTATCTTATATTCCTTTTTAAGTGGCACTATGTATGTTTTGAGTTAACATCATAGACATTCTACGAAACTCCTTTTAAAAAAAAGCTGAATGTGATGAAGTAACTATGGCAACGGTTGTTTGGTGACTGATCTTGTCTCCATGGAGATATATGTTGAATTATTTACAAGTGTATTCTTCCGTCCGTTCACTGCACGATTGGCATGTGACAGTGCAGCACCAATGGAACTTGCAATTACACTGCCAAGTCCGGGTAAACTGATGCGTGTTATACCCTCGTCCACAACACATTAAGTCGCAACCATCCGTCCCAACGGAGGTTCTATTGCACGTTCGTCCCACTGTCCCCAGTGACCCTAAATCGGGGTCATATTCACAATAATTGGGGGAACGATCCAAATAAATCAGGTCACTTCTACGGGGTTTTTTATTTGTTCGTCGGGACCTTTTTAATTGTAAGACAATAGGTGTTTTTGCTCGTTTTCCCTTTGTGGGTCTAGCTAGCTTGGATTTCTTGTATTTCTTCATTAGAAAGTCTCCAACTTCTCTGAATCGAGGTAAAGTTGTCCAACATGTTTTTATCGTACAAGCTCCTGATACCCCGTGGCACTTGCATTCTGTGCCCATCCTGTCTTTAACTGCCTGCAAGTGGACAAAGTTATGAATTTGTGAAACAACTATTACGGTTTTGCTTCAATGCCGAAATTCTATTGTAACTCTATTGAGACTTGGTTATCAAACTTGGTAGAATTATATATCAATATATCGGGGTTATGAAAATTGAATGCTATTTTATACATGTCATGGATTTTAAATACATCTCACGGCTCATAGGTATAGTCAAACTTAACTAATTTTGCATTTTAATGAAACCTATATCATATAATTGTGTCTAATGTATTCATATAGTAAGGGTCACCGATTGTCAAATTTATCATTTATTTGTCAATATTTTAAAAGTCAAATGAAGCAAAAAGGACATTTTAGAAAAGATGAATTTAGTTTCTCCATGATTAAATATAATCCAAATTGAAAATATTTTAAAAATTAAACCTATTTGTGTAAATAAATGAACAATATTATGTAACCTTTCTCCCCGCTCTGTTATTATGTAAGTTCATCAAGGATCTGGCATCGTGCTCTATCTCTCTGGCGTCTACAAACTGGCGAGCGAACTCAAGTCCATAGCGGAAATCCGCACTACATCCGCCCCAGCGCCAGCCTTTGGGGGAGTATTGCCCGTCGAGTTTGCTTCTGTCGCAGCCACAGCTGGAGAGGTTGCCCTGGCTACAGGCTTGGGTGATTGAATATGCCACCCCGGCAGAAGTTACTGCATATGTATACGCGGCCTCTTTTGTTCCTGAAACAGGTGAAAGCATGGACATTAGCCTGAAACAGGTGAAAGCATGGACGTTAGCCTGAAACAGGTGAAAGCATGGACGTTAGCCTGAAACAGGTGAAAGCATGGACGTTAGCCTGAAACAGGTGAAAGCATGGACATTAGTCTGAAACAGGTGAAAGCATGGACATTAGCCTGAAACAGGTGAAAGCATGGACATTAGCCTGAAACAGATTAAAGCATGGACATTAGCCTGAAACAGGTGAAAGCATGGACATTAGCCTGAAACAGGTGAAAGCATGGACGTTAGCCTAAAACAGGTGAAAGCATGGACATTAGCCTGAAACAGGTGAAAGCATGGACATTAGCCTGAAACAGGTGAAAGCATGGACGTTAGCCTGAAACAGGTGAAAGCATGGACATTAGCCTGAAACAGGTGAAAGCATGGACGTTAGCCTGAAACAGGTGAAAGCATGGACGTTAGCCTGAAACAGGTGAAAGCATGGACATTAGCCTGAAACAGGTGAAAGCATGGACATTAGTCTGAAACAGGTGAAAGCATGGATATTAGCCTGAAACAGGTGAAAGCATGGACATTAGCCTGAAACAGGTGAAAGCATGGACATTAGCCTGAAACAGGTGAAAGCATGGACGTTAGCCTGAAACAGGTGAAAGCATGGACATTAGTCTGAAACAGGTGAAAGCATGGATATTAGCCTGAAACAGGTGAAGCATGGACATTAGCCTGAAACAGGTGAAAGCATGGACATTAGCCTGAAACAGGTGAAAGCATGGACATTAGCCTGAAACAGGTGAAAGCATGGACGTTAGCCTGAAACAGGTGAAAGCATGGACATTAGCCTGAAACAGGTGAAAGCATGGACATTAGCCTGAAACAGGTGAAAGCATGGATATTAGCCTGAAACAGGTGAAAGCATGGACATTAGCCTGAAACAGGTTAAAGCATGGACATTAGCTTAGATCGTTCAACCTGGTACGCATTTAAAGAATATTTCAATTTTGTCCTGGATATGACCTGAGATGTTTGAACTAATTTCAGATCGTTTTCAGAAATGAATTGAAGATGAATACGTGGAATTAAAACGACCATTCTTGTTATACTTTCAAAGTTTTAAATGCATAATTAAGTTATTCGGAATTTTGAAGATGAGAATGATATGGTCCATGGCGATTATCAGAGAGTCCCAATGCGGATCATTATATTAGGGCGATGTTAAATTAAGATGAGAAGTGATCTGGAAATGACTAGTGACTTTGATTTGTCCAAACTACACACATGATATCACCAAGAATAAATCATTTTATAGTCAATTGGTCAGATCATTGTTATTTGCTTCGATGCGTTGAGATGTTGACACTAATCTTGTTTTGTCTAATGTTGTTTGAGAAAGTGCCCAATGATCAACTGATCAATGCTATGCAAAATGATCAACTCAATGATGAACAGAAGTAAATTTGATAACATGCTTAAGATGAACTTTGAACTTATATGTGTGCTTATGAAGTACAATTCAAATTTTAGTAAATATCACTTTTTATCTTTGTATACAGTATTCAGAAAACAGGTAGCAACATAAGGGAAAAACTCAAGAGCAAGATACTCTCAAAACCCAAATAGTCTCAAATGAATACAAGACAATGCCTTAAGAAACAAAGAACTGTGGCTCTGAAAAGTCATCGTGGAATTGCTACCCTTACATCTCACTATTGTTATCCCATGGCCTCTAGACTGTACTTCGTTATCCCACTACATCTCACTATTGTTAACCCATGCCCACTAATCTTCGTTATCCCACTACATCTCACTATTGTTATCCCATGGCCGCTAGACTTCGTTATCCCACAACATCTCACTATTGTTATCCCATGGCCGCTAGACTTCGTTACCCCATTACATCTCACTATTGTTATCCCATAGCCACTAGACTTCGTTACCCCATTACATCTCACTTTTGTTATCCCATGGCCACTAGACTTCGATATCCCGCTACATCTCACTATTGTTATCCCATGGCCACTAAACTTCGTTATCCCATTATATCTCACTATTTTTATCCCATGGCCACTAAACTTCGTTATCCCATTATATCTCACTATTGTTATCCCATGGCCGAAGTCTAGTACTTCGTTATCCCACTACATCTCACTATTGTTATCCCATGGCCGAAGTCTAGTACTTCGTTATCCCACTACATCTCACTTTTGTTATCCCATGCCCACTTAACTTTGTTACCCCACTTCATCTCACTATTGTTTACCCATGACCACTAGAATTCGTTACCCCACTACATCTCACTATTGCTGACCGATTGCCACTAGACGTCATTGCCCAGCCCATCTCACTTGTGTTATACCCTGACCAATAGACTTCTCACTATTGTTATCCCATGGCCGCTAGACTTTGTTACCCCACTACACTCTACATCGTTCTTGGGTTATTCTTTTAATTTTGTATAAACCTGTACACCCAAATATAGTCTAATGGTGAACTAAAACTACCAAACATGGTCTATCTTGATAACGAAACACTTAATCAAAGAATTCATCCACAGATCAAAAGAAAATTCATCAGATAACTAGCTGAAATTGGTTTCATATCAACGAATCTGGTAAACATAAATACACAATTTTTTCAGGTATTATTTGCAGATTTGAAATTTCAATCCACAAATCATGCATTGATTAAAGGGAATTTAGCGAGCTACCTAACAAAAAATCTCAATTTTAGAATATGTTGGGTTCATATCACTGGGTGAAAGTGGAACCGTTACAAATGAGTGTAGCCGGTCCTCGAGCTCCGAGTTTAACCGATGATGAACAGTTCCTGTCCAACAAAACGTAATTTTGCATAATTTTGACACATAATGTATATAATTACACTCCCCTCCATAAGTTTGGCAACCTTTTTTCCCCCATTGAACTACGTGTTAAAGCCTCTTTACCTTTGAATTTTTATTTACTTAACCTGCGATGAAAATACTTCTACTATTGATGGAAATTTTCTCAATTTTTTTCCTCAATTACAATAGGTCGAAAATTGATGATAAATTTGATGAATTTTTGAAAATCGACATTCCCATGTTAACCAATGGGAAGTGGTAGGTTTGCCGCAAGTCATATGAAAGAATATCCATCCATCCGAGTCCTTGCAAAAAATACGAGTTAGGCAGGCAATTGAATTTGCTAACTTTATCTAACAAAAATTGATATGTTTCTTCAGGTTCAACAAAGTTATAAGGCTTTAAAGTCAAATTTTTTTTTCAAAAAACCTCTCCCATTGAAATAACACAGGAGGCGAAAAATTATTTCCAAAAATGACTTTGAAGCGCTGTAACTTTAATATTCATCAAAACTAAACACTTAGTGTTCATAAAAGTTAGACAATTCAATTTTCTATATAAAAATATTTTTTGCTGAATCTTTTACTGAAAAGACATCCTGATTTCTGATTTGCCCCGAACCCTCCATTTCCCATAGGATTACCTATTGTAATTGAGGAAAAAAATTGAGAAAATTTGGAGGTATTGGAAATAAAGTCAAGTTGCGTTTCCACCAATATTATAAGTTATTTCATCGCCGGTTAAGTAAATAAAAATTCAAACGTAAAGAGGCTTTAACACGTAGTTCAATGGGGAAAAAAGGTTGCCAAACTTATGGAGGGGAGTGTACATATCTCATTTGAATTGAATGGCGGTTCCAGATCCACCCATTTGCATAACATTCCTTGTCATGTCTATTTTCCAAAAGTCTCCATTATGAATACTTTATGTAAGAAAAACTAAAGATGTTCGCAATTATTAATTCATTTCTCTATAAATGTGGTCATCACTTTTATTGCGCTCCACACATTTGTGGCAAGTGAAACGCTTTAATTTGAATAACAGCGGCTTTTTACAGCGGATCTGATTCTGCCATTAATATAATAGTTATGTTTCCCGATTGATCTAATGCATCCAACGCTATCATTCTTCTTTTTAAAAAGTTTCCATCCAGTATATTGAAGCTACCACTATCTGGTAATATGGAGCTATTAAACCATCAAATAAAATATGTTTAAATTTAGACTGCCTTTTATGGATGCGATGAGAGTTTAAATACTCTCATTTCTATTTAGAGTTTTGCGTTTTATTTCATCTTGATTTCGGTAGAATATCAACCGTTTTGTTCAGCTGGTACTTTATGGGAGAATGAGAAAAAACTCGGGTAAACATGTTTTGTCATGAACAGTCAATTTTGCTTATGAAATATCGCAACCATATGGATAAATCCAAGTGGTTGTGACATCAGTTGATACTGTATAACACTGTATTAAGAGAATGCCATTCATAAACAAAATGTTAAAAACAACAATTCTTAAAACGTTAATAGCCAGGTAATTTATGGCATAAAATGGTTCCTTGCACATGGCAATAGACATAGAATCTACATCGAAGGACATTTACAGATGAGATTTATTGCTAAAAATAACGGCATGGGTATGCCATTTTGCCGGGCATTTTGGATGAATGAGTACAGCGTTGAAACACATTTTTCACCTGCAATTTTTTCACCTTTTTAACAGCTATTTTACCTGAAATTGAATTCGAGACGTGTGCTACATGTTAGAGATTATTTCGGATAAACTCACAATTTTATCTTTATTTCAACATTGGATTAACATTGTGAACGATGGCAGGTCATTCCTATATTCTACTATACATTTCTGGGTTATCCCAATCTCAAGCTGCGAGGAAAACGTGTTTAATTCTGTAAAAAATATACCACAATATTAGAATATTTGTGAATCATATCAGTTTCTTAAATTATTGATTTAAAAAACAATGTTTACATTTAGAAAAACTTCGCAAATTCCTATAAAGTGAATGTCCCCAAGAATGACCCCAAGATGTAGATTCGGTGAATTTCAAGTTACAAACATTAAGCTGTTGCCAAGAATGATACTTTGTTCAATTCTACCATTTCATGAGGCATCTCCGGAACCCGAACGAGAACTTGAAGTAAGACTATCATCCAAATAAAGCTCAAGTTTCCCTGTTGCAATAACATCTTCGCTTATGCAAGATTATTTCCGAAAGTAATTGCATTTTGTAATAACAAAGGATTGGCTCTTTGACCTTCGAGAGCCTTCAAATGTCAAATTTCCGTCATCTTTCCGGCATCTCATCTGAGCCACTTCCAATAGTCCCGGGCCAATAGTCCAGTCATTTCTTTGCATTACGATGTTATTATAAACATGGTGTTATGTATGAACATCCTGTGTCAATTTTACTGACCGTTTGGATTTAGATTTTGTGACAGAAGCGCAATTTTATTTTGATTTAGGAAATGTATTTAATTTCTAAAAACTCATATTCACTTATTTACTTAGTCTGAAAATGTCTGAGCATTGAGATCTGAACATCGTCGTACTTCTTACATTCTGTATTCTATAAGTTCACAAATCTATTTTAAGAATAAATTCTTAAAACGCAACCATTTGAAATACAAGGTACATTTTGCATAAACTTATTATGACTTTTCACCCTCTATTACACTCCAAGAAAAACTACTATTCTTCTAATCCGTCTCAATGACCCTCAAATCTCACTTTAACCATACCACTCCGCCAGAATTAACCTTACCCAATATATGTACATGCCCGAATGTTGCTTTTTCACTGCCCAGATGAGTACAGTTCCAACGCCGTCCTCTAAACTGCCAGCGACACTCGCTGATTCCTTGTCTGGCGCCCTCCCCAATGGCCACGATAGTATCGGGCCGACGTTGGCAAATCTCCTTCTGTTTAGGGGCAAGCCCGGGGATCCTATTGCAGATGATATTAGCTCCTAACGCGACCACTGACGACAGAGCGCTGGAACAAAAGAAGACGAATTCTGAGAATAAGTTTAATATTGCAACGAACATGCTCCTGACAAATTCTCTCGGCTGATCATCTTTCATTTTCTTTAATTACTTTCTTACATTTAAACATATACATCCTGGGATTACAAATGTTATGTGAAATAGTAATGTGTAGTTTATCCACTAATTTTTGATTGTAACATGGTACAATTTTGTTTTAATATTAGTTTAAGTATTTATGGTCGAAGTTCAATTATTTCAAATAAATCATTTTATTTTCACATGAAAATTTCACCGAAAGGAAGTTTAAGGAGTTTAAATACCACATTTAAATACACATTATGGAAAATAATTAAAAATGGATTTGTTTAATGTTGTTAAGTAACGTTTTATGATGTGGCTAATAGGCCTAATGTGTTAAATACAAAGCTTTAAATACAAAGTAAATGTATGTTAATATGTATATAAATAAATTGTAAAATTCACGATCAAATGTATTATTTATCACATGAAATGCACGTATTCAGGTTCATTGCATACGTTTATACAATAGCTGATATTGTTGGATGATGATCAGTGAAGAAGAGCACCGGATCTGATCAGTTGACCGAGTAAAACACACGACGACATCAAACTTAACATCAAGTAGGATTATTACAAGGTAACTGTATGTAAGAAATGTGACACTGTCACTTGTCATCCCGTCTGAGCCTCACTCACCTTAAGAAAACAATGAGGAACAGAAAAAAGCAACTCTTTTGAGTAAGAAACATGTTTTACTGCGTCCGACAATTTCAAGCATTTTGTGATCCATTGATACCGTGATAAAGATGAAGCATCTGAAGATCGAGTGATGAAATTACATTTTATTTCTGTGGTTAGCGTTTATATTAGGTTCATTCCATCCACATATCCCCAGATTTTAATCACTTATCCTGATCTTATATCATGATATGATTTGTTGTTTTTTATTCCTAATTGAAACTGTTTTGTTTATTTTGCGATTGTACACCTTTTTCGAGTTCATCTACACCCGGGGGTGTTGTGTTGTTGTGTGTTTTCTTACTACTTTATGTTGTCTGATCCTGTAAGCACATAAAGGTCCACCATGCCTTCGGGTGCGATTATCCCTTTAGATTAACTAACATTCGTATTCTTTTCTAATAAAATCCAACAGAATCCGACTGTTAAAGTCAAGTTCGCTTAAAAAATAATCTTTTTATTTCGGTAGTGGATTTATAGCCATATAAAAGTAAAATCGCCGTTCCACAGTCGATTATAGGAACGTGAAGCCACAGGTGCGCATGTAGGCAACCATATCACTAACTTTTTCCTCCTGTGGATTTTGTAAAAAGTGACAACAAAGGGTTGTGATTGAGCAGTTAAACTGTCAGCTTAAACTCGGGTTACACAGTTACTTTCATCATCAGTTAAATTGATTTAATGATAAGTTTGTATGAAACGTACCCCGGTGGAGCATGATCATTTCATATTATCGTTTAAAGCCAGGTTTGCCGTGTGTGTGTACATATAAGGTGTGTTTGCATGCGTGTGTTCTAGATTGAGCCGATGCCATTAGCGTGTCGTTTAGTTTATGACGCATGAAATGTGCAGTTAGTTTTCGTAGGACCCACTTGAAATAAGTGGCCAGGTCAATTTTGAAAATTTTTATTGGCACTGATCAATGATAAAGTACATGAACCAAAATGCAAATTAAATTATGAACGTTTCGATTGAAAGCTATAAAGATTGACCAGGTTCTATCTCTTTAAGCTTTTTGACGATTGGTTATAGTTATTATGTTATTAGGATGAAGTAAGTTCTTTTCAAATATTGCCCATTGTGGTATAATTGAAGTTTATAGCTAATAGCTTACAAGAAAGTGGTTTCATTTTGGCGTGTGTTTTGGGTGCTATAAGCGCTTTCACCTGGTCAAATGATTTTAATCCAGGATCATGTAACTATTAATTCAAAATATTTCTGGTTTGTCCATTTTGGTATATCTCTAAATTGATATTTAAATAATTAGTAGACACAACCCTTTCTAGTTAATACCTGGAGTGAAATTGCAAGCCCGGTACATTCCATGTTTAATGTTCGCCCTTAATTGATGAGACTTTTTTCAAATAGGTTGAGTGATGGTACTTTAAAGGAACAAGAAAGACATTGGCAAATTGAAAGTAAATTAAAAACAAAATTGTCACAATTTTACAAAATATTTCGTATACCATGCCTTTCTCTAAAAGAAAGTTCAGCAATTCTTACTTTTTTCAAAATAATCTGCAGATTTGAAAGGCTTTCCAGCCAACAATTGAAAAGGAAGTCGTCCTCCTTTTCAATTCTTATGCATCAAATACATTTTGCATCTTAAATCTACAATTATTCGATCACATATCTCAGAAAATGTTAAGATTATATGGAAAACATTTGCATGTATTTTAAAAAGATCAGCTCTAACATTGTGCACTATCTCTACTTCCTTTAAATCAACTACATTCATATGTGAAGTACCTTCTCGCTACGCTCGGCACATATGAGTTAAACGTTGTGTTCAGGGTGGCCAAGAGTTATATCAAATCAATAAAGTAAGTCTTTGAAATTTTAATATTTCAACATTTGAGGTTTAACTATAACAACTTTATTAAAAAAGGAATGGCAGAAATGAAGTTTTCATAATATCTATTCATTCTTCTCTCATTAAATTCAAATTAAGGATGTACCCTCTGAGATGTTGGTTTTGCCATTTATACGAATGTTTAGTGGGGAACGTTTGAAATAGTTTTAAGGTATCTTTAACTGGATGTTGTTAATTATTCCGTCTTTTAACGTTTTAATGTGTCAGTGTAAAGTCACACCTGTATGACTAGCTTTGTTCCGTTTGACAGTTGGGTGAAAAATGACTTCGACTTTTATCAAATGTTCTTATTTTCTTTCTATTTGGACCAATGCAACTGTATCAATTTAGAATTTTCTCTTGTGTTTCATTCATTCACTATTAACGCGAAAACAATTTTTACTTTTTGACTTTTCTCCCAGCCAAAGTGTCTATTTTCACGAAATGGGACTTGTACCAATCTGTGTTATGCTCGCAGTGTTCAATGCTATTTCGCTTATCTCGTCTCTATTCAGTTTCCATCTAACTAACCAGGTATCTGTTTAAATATTTGATGCAGAATGATTTTGAAAAAGAACGATTTAAGGGTAATATACGTCTCTTAACGAAAATGTACTTGTAAGCTTGACTTATCATTTGGGTTCTATTTCTAAAAATATAAACTTTTAATCTGTGATCTTTGGCTGGTTTTGTACCAACAATCTATGCATCATCTTTCTATTTAATCTCACGATGTCCAAGTACACGGGTAGACATCCCAATGATTTATTTAGTTTTAATTAATGTATGAATTTGCGTGCTCAATTGCTCTTTTGTTGGGTACTATAACGAATGGGAACGTCTTTTCATATTTACAAAAAAAAGTTTAGAAAAAAGCATCATAAAATGTTACTGATAACATTGTGCAACATACTATGAACTCTTCATTGTCGGAAAGCCAGTTTTTCTTTTTCACTCAAATAAAATTTGTCACTTTAAAAAAATAGATTAGACTTTTATGAAGTTTTCTTTGAGTATCTATATTTAATGCATCCTATATCAATGTACACTAGTGTCACTACAAGAATTAACCCTCTCCAAATACGATGGTATCTCGTAAAAATGAAAAATTATATATAGTCGCAAAGTACTTACAACCAAGCTATGCAAATCCTACACGGTGTCATTGCATCCATTTTATTTACAATCCAACAAATTAATCAACTTTCGGCTGAATCGTGTATTTCAATTGGTTTTTGAAGGGTTGGATAGTAACCCATTGATAATGATCTACATTTACAGCGATAACTCGAGAGGAAAAAGTCAACATATAAAAACTCCAACCACAGATAGGTGATGGGTTGATGAATCTGTATGTGTAGACATCAGGTGGGAATCCTCGTAGAAATGTGATCACTTTCCAGGTTTCACCAACTCGTGAGTAGACAAGACAAACATATCTTGTCTGGGAGAAAAATACATGTAATTAATCCCTTCCGATACTTCGTAATGTGGGTCCAAATCCAGAACTTCTAAATCAATAGTTATGTGTGGTTTGCAACGTCTGATTCCTCTGTTATAAACACTATCTAAAGGACCTGGTTGGTTTGTTCACATTGTCTGGTCATTGTTCTTGGGTTTGTGTCTGATTTGATCTTACTTGTGGAAGAGACATGTTTAGCAAATATATTTGATCAATTGTGCCACACACACGTGTATACGATTATATACACCAGGTGCCATTGCACAACCAAATGGTACCAAAGCACTGGCTGGTACCAAAAATACAATAATCAGATAACACTATATCTAAAGAAGTTGTGTCAAATGAGGCCATTGCCACCAAGCAAGCAATTAGTGACACAAATATCTACTTACAAGATACCACCATTGTAGACCCAGAAGAGACAATAAGAGAGGATTAACCATATCCGTGCGTATTTCGCTAGCTTCATTTCGATGGCATCTTCCAATTCAGAAACCTGTCGATAACTCCTATTTTGTCTCTTTGCTTCTAAGTTAGTTTGAAAGTAATAATCCTGATATTTGTTCTGTAAATAGGGGTTATTAAGGCCATGTCTATCACGACTGGCATCAGTTTTCACTGTGACTGTAAGAATAGAACTCCTTGAAGTTTTGCAAGAGAATTTGTTCCAAAGTTTATTCTCCGATACCTGAAACACGCGCGTCAATAATCTCACAGAGCATCACATTCCACGTACTCTCTTTGCGCATCGCAATCATCATTTTGATTGGTTCACAGCGGGAGACTGATCGCTTTAATAACTAGTCCTATTTCAGTCTTTATCTAGCCGTCATTCTAACAGGCTCATCTCATATATACACCCACTCGACCAAAACTATTATGTATACAATTCAACACAATGTTTTCAGATGTTGCCACTAGCACAACCAGTTGACTGATTTTCATGAAAACATGAGATAAGGCATCTTCCTTTAAGGGACACACACATCCCTAAGTCAATTTGAAAACATTTAAATCCATTTCTATTTGTTTTTACACACGAAGTATCGATGACATAAAGGAAATGAATCAGGGACTGTATATTTGGAATCTTCAATTTTTCAATCTCCCTTTTCAAAATACCACTCAGATACCGTTCCAACATTCATAATTATGCAGCAGGTATCTCTTGAATTTCCCGTTATTATATTTCTACAAATATTTACCTGACATTTTTATATTTGAGGGTTATAATTTATACCATAAGAGATTTAGACATTTTTATCTTGGGGAAAAATTTAGTGCGACATTGTAGATTCATCTATGTCCCGATTAAAAGCTGATTTTCACAAATGGTAAGATGTTTCAGTTTTAGGCCCGTTTTAGGTCTATCGTTACGGTCACGAAATGAATTACAAAGTTATACAATAAGTTGTTTAGCTAAATAAATATATTCAAGGTGATATTGAATAATCAGTAACCAGCTGATTTTAGTCTGTTGACTTCGCTTTAGTAACCATGTCAGGTAGCAAAATGTAGTGACATACATGTACATTTATGGGACACTTCTACCGCGAATTTATCATTTTTATTAATTTCTTCTACAATTATGCTTGTAAAAATTCACATCCTATTCTAAGATATTTGTCTTACGACCTTCGTATTTGAGTCATAATCTACAGATCTCAATTCAACATTATCTCCATGTCTTAATAGATTACACTTTGGGGTACATTGTTATATTGGCTTTCTTGTGATTTGCGATCATCTCAATTTGAATATATTATATAATAGTAGCCACGACGGGTAAGATGGTCCCAATTTATTTTTTGACCTTGACATCCTTAGCCATGTTCAATGATTTCTAGCATCCACGATTTCCAAACATAAATTATGAAATATGATCGCAAAAGATTGGTTAGTCAAAAATGCTAGTCTTGCCTCAGGCCTGTGGAACCTTATCTACTTCACCAACACAACACAGTTAGGGGGGGGGCTCACAAGGGTTTGTAGTTAGACTAAAAATGCATTCTTTAGAAGTGATACTGGTCCAATTTCATTGTTTCAAATACAGTGTATAGGTTCTAAAGCATTGCAAAAAAAAGAAATATAATTCAATTGCCAAACGTATTGCTGAACTCGGGCCTGGACTACTGACACTTTGGCAAAATAAGATCTTGCATTTGAGATAACGC